TGGTACTATAACGCTGTCCAACGATTCTTGTGTATACATTGGTCCAGACAATGACATTACAGACCATAAAAATGATGAGCGTAATATCTTCAAAAATCAATTGAACAAATTTATTGACAAATCGATTGATTTTGCATTGTATAGGCGTTTGTATGATAACGCAAAGGCTGGATGGGATCTAAACATCAAAATCTTGGATGAATGTATTGTAGCAAATATGATCAGATTCTCACTAAATTCTGATATCACTGATGATAACCGGAATGTAGATACCATTTTCGCGAATTCTGAAGAGATAGATATATTAGATCGTCGTGAATGGATTTATCATTTGTGGGAAAATATTAAATATAGAAATTGGGATCTGAAAAAGTTTGAAGAAATTCATATAATACCGACTAGTCGATTTACTCTCAGAAAATTAAAAACTCCAAAGAAAATTTTTTCTAGTCAAACAAGCACAAATAACTCAATTAAATCTTTGATTTCTATTTTCGAAAAGTTTGGCGTTGTTTTTGTGGAAAATAAATTTGAAATTAGTAAAACTTCTAAATGGGACAAGTAAATATTTTTAATTAATGATCATTGTTTCCGTAAGTTCGTTTGTTTTCATGGTCGAATAAACTAAATACCTTTTTTCTTTTTCTTTTACTAGAATTTCCCCATATATTATCAAACCTGATGATATTATATCAGTTTTGGATTCTTTTCAAGCCGATACTACCGATACTTCATGTCCAAAATATCCTGAGAATTTGAATTGCGTGTTACAAGATCATGAAGCATCAACACTCGTTGGATATTTATCTAATTATTTACGACTTGCTAATAAATATCATCTTGTACCAAAACTTATTGATGTTATCAAACACCTTCCAATTTTTAACCAAGTTGGTCACACTTCTCCAATTTCATTATTACCCGGAGATAAGAAATGGTATCTTTTACCTCAAGGTGAAGAGAATTCATATGGTAAAATTATTTATCCAAGTGATAAGGGGGGATTTCTCAGTACAAAATCGCGAGACTTAAGTGATATCTTAGAAAAATACATAAAAGTTCCTCGACTAAATGCGAATGACTATTGGCGGAATTATGTAATACCATTTCTTGAGACACAATCACCAGAAGACATAGATATAGTAATTGACAAGCTTTTTGATCAATTACCGCATATAATTGATACTAGCTTGAAAGATATTCTCAGAAGAAAGTCTTTTGTACCTGTTGGCACGTTTAAAATGTCTCAACAACGACAAAAATCTGATAACGTAAAATTGGCTAAACCAATAGATTTATTTGATCCGGAAGAAAAAATCTTAGTTGATTTATTTTTTGAAGATGAACAAGTATTTCCCGCTGGCAATTTTGGCATTTCTCAAACTTTTTGTTCTAAAAAGTTTCTTCCAAATTTGAAATTGTTGGTGGGAATCAAATCAATTCTTTCTCCAAATGATGTAATTTCTCGGATCGACACTATTATAGATCGTATAGATCGAAGACAAACTTCTAATGTTCCTGAAGATTTAATTCGTACAAAAGCATTAAAACTTTTTAGATATATCGATGAAAATTGGAATAAGTTTATTATTGATGATACACAAACTCGGGAAAATCGTGGACCAAGTAATGCATTCTTAAAAACAATTCTAGAAAAAGAATGGATACCATCCGTCGACGCATTTGATAGTAAAATTTTTTCGAGCCTTAAAAAATGTCATAGTCAAAAAGATAAAGATTTGATCTGTTTGGTCACTCCGATAGTTGAATATAAGGTTAAAAATAAGAAACTTTTGAGACAATTGGGGTGGGATACATATCCTGTTGTTAAGATGATTATAGAGCAACTAGGACTTTGTTTCAAAGGCGTAAAAAACAAGCAACCACCTAAAAATTTAGTAAAGATTTGTACAGCGGTTTACAAATATATGGACGAAATTTTTAAAGCAAGCGATATTAAATCTAATGAAGATTTCAATTATATGAAGAATTACTTGAAAGATAAGTCGTGGATCTTATCGTTACGCGAAGGACAATTTTATCCAGCTGATAAAGTCATCTTTAAACTTCCAAATAAATTTCAGAATAATGAATCTTTAATCATTGAACTTCCAGCAGAATATTTTAGTTTTAAATCTTTATTTGAATCTATGGGAGTTCGAGATGAAATTGGAATTAAAGATTTTATTTTAATTATTAAAAATGTGATCAAAGGAAACAATGATAAAGTCTTATCCGCAAACGAAATAAACAACGTTATTCAAATTCTTAAACAAGTTGCAGAAATACAAAAAGATAATCGAGATAATCCGGAAAGCTTAGATGGATTATTAGTTCCAAGTACTGAAAATAAGCTTGTTGACTTGCATGAAATTCAATTTGATGACATGGGAGATAATCTTAGTGATGAAGAGAGAAGCAAACACAAAATTGCTCATAAACTTGTAATTAAGGATATTGCTAAAGAATTGGAAATTCAAACTTTAAAAGGGAAAATTTATGGTAATTATAATAAATTAATATATTTTCTAAGATTATGAACTTTAATATGTATTATTTGAACTTTCATCGATTTCAATGGCAGGTAATGATTATACCGGAGATATGGATTGGGAGAAATATGAACAAAATGAATCTTTAACAACTAGAATTAAAAATATTATCAAGGTAAAGTTTGAGATTTATTACCGAGTTATATCATTTGATTTTAATATATATTTTTGAATATTTTTGGTTCTATCAATAGGATTATTCGATAAATTCATTATTTAAAGAATTTCTTCAAGTGAGTAATGTATTTTAAATGTTATTTTTCTAAAAGAACTTATCTAGTGAATTTGTATTTGGATTTATAATGATATAGAATGCAGATGATGCTAAGGCTACTCGCTTTGACATAACAGTGGATGAAAGACGAATATTTCAGCACAATGGCCGAAAATACTTATCAGAAGAGATGGTAGATTGGCAAGGTCCTGCGATATGGATATATAATGATGCAGAATTTTCTCCTAAAGACTTTCAGGCTTTGATAAAACTTGGAACTGGAGGAAAATCTCATGATGAGACTAAGATCGGAAGATTCGGAATAGGATTTAATTGCGCTTTTCATCTTACGGATTTACCTAGCTTTGTGAGTGGAAAATATATTGTATTTTTAGATCCAAATGCAAAATATCTTCCAGCACAAGGATATCCTCCTAGAAGGCCAAGGGGTACTCGAATTGATTTTATTAATAAGGAATTTAAGAAAAGCTTTCCGGAACAATGCTATCCTTACGAGGCATTAGGATGTAATTTTTCAGAAGAATTCAAAGGAACATTGTTTAGGCTTCCACTTAGGACTTTAAAAACAGCAAAACAAAGTGATATTTCAGATCAAGTTTTTGAAATCAAAGATATCTTGCAACTATTTAGTGGTATTAAAAGTAATAAAGAGATGTTATTTTTAAGGAATATAGAATCGTGCGGCCTGTATCACATGAGACAACAAACTAATCAATTGATATGGGAAGCGCAAATTGATATGTCAAACAAAGATCGTGGTATTCGTAAAAGTGTCATTGATATCGCTCAATTATATCAAATGGATATTGAAATTACAAATAATAAACTTAATAAGAGAGTATCAGAAATATGGCTTTTATGTACAGGGGGAATTCAGAGTAATATAAAACAAGACTTAAAAGAATTTTCAGAAAAAAAACGACTTAAGGTAATGTAATGTATTTTATTATTATGTATATAATATTTTAGTGAAACTAATAAATGATTCTTTTTTCATTTTTATTAATCAAGCCAAGAGGAGGGGTTGCATCCTTGCTTGCTCAATCTGATAAAAAATCATTTGCTGAATTAAGGACTGAATCGGCAAGTATTTTTTTTTTCTTTTTATTTTATATGAAAAATCAATTACCTAACCTGTAAGAAAAAAATAACCAATTTTCAAATTTTTCATTATAGTTTCCTAATCCTCCTGAACTTAAAGGAGAGATTTACTCATATTTGCCTTTATCAATAAGTACCAATCTGGGAGTCCATTTAAATGGGAACTTTTCTTTATCTAGTGCAAGAAGTAATATTCTACAGTCTGAAAATGATTTCTTACAAGCTGATTGTGATGATGCAAAATGGAACCGCTATATCTTATATGATGTTTTACCCATTTTACACAATAAACTACTTGATGAGATCGTGAATCTTGAAGACATTAGATACAACAACAATAGAACTGATTTTATTCCACATACCTTAAATAATCTTTGGCCAATTACAAAAAATTTAACTATGGGATTGTACAAAAGTTACGGATTAAATGTTATTAAAAAGGGTAATAATAGAATTTACTGGACCGAAGCCAACGGTGGTAGATTTATATCATTAAAAGAAGGCAAAATTATTGAAGGAGAAGAAACAATGATTGGCGATATTTTGGGAGAATTGGGAGTTTTAATTTTGAAACTTGACAAGGACAAGCTTGAACAAATCAAGGAGATTGCTAAAAGTAAAAGGAGTCTAGGGTTCAAATATGAAACAATCAGTGGAAAAGAAGTTTGCGATAAATTGCGAGGAAAAGATAGTTTTATAAATTCATTTATACAAAAGAATAATGATAGTTCTGATAAAAAGAAGGACCCTCACGAAACAATATTCTTATTGCTTCGCTTTATTCTTAGTAGTATTGATGGCTCATATAAAAATCTCGATAGATTACCATTAGTTCCATTGAGCGATGATTCGGTCGGAACGTTTGGCGAAGTCTATTATATAGGGAAACAAAAGCATATAAACCTGTTTCCTAAAGTTGGGCCATCAAAATTTGTTCGTGTTGAATTACCGCACGACATAGAAAAAGTTTTTAAACGGGATGATTTTTCTGTATTAAATATTAGACAGTTTGATTCTGCTGCAACTTTAGATCTTTTGTCCTTAGAATTTCCATACAAAAATATTAAGGAATTGGATTGGGATCCTTATGGCAAATCTATACCAAATGACGAATGGCTAAAAGAAATTTGGTCTAAACTTACATCTAGTAAGACTATAGATTTTACAAAACTTTCAAAATTTCCTCTCTTACCAATGATCCAACCTTCCGAGAAGCTCGTTCAACTTGACATAACAAATCCGCTTTTAAATGTTGAACACGGAAGCAATTTATATCCAGTATTAAAAAAGCTCAAGTTACGGTTCACTAATATGAAATTTCCAGACAACGCTAATTCAAATATCAAACAGTGTGTATTGCCATACAATCCAGTTAATATTGTCAATGCCTTGGAGAGGACTTGCATTTTATTGGATTTGTCTATGGAACAATTATTTAAAACTAGTGATCTTACAAATAAGGACTATGAAAGATTTAGAACATATATTAAAGAAAATCATGAAGCATTTAAAAGTAAGTTAATGATTGATAAACTATTATATTTGATTAATAGCTTGTTAATAACTAACAACAAATTATCGTAACAGGACCGATTCGAAATCAAGACTTTATGAATGTTCTTCGTTCATTTCCAATATGGCCAGTACATTCTTGTGATAATAAGTTTATCGATGCCGGATCTGGAATTCTCCTTCCGCACAATCTTCCATTTTTTTCCTTTCAGCAAATTGGTAATTTTTACAAATGTGATGAATATGATTTCCGTACTCTTTTCGGCTTAAGTGTTACTTACATAGATGAAGAAAAGTATATTAAAGACTATTTCATACCTCAACATATAAATACATTACCATCCGAAGATTATATTACTTTCTTGCAGAAAATTTTATCTTTAGGAAAGAGAGAAATCGAGCAATATTTTGAATTATATCCATTAATTCCAAATAAATCACTTACAGCTTTGGTAAAGGCTAATACCTTATATGACAATAATGTTCCTTTATTCTGCAGTGTTTTTGAGGACTCCGACAATTTTTTACCTACAATATTTTATAGTAATCCAGCTTGTGTGACAGCATTGAAAAGAATCGGTCTTAAGTATCAAGTGAATTGTAAAACCTTCATTGAATGTGCACAAGAGATTGAGTCACAACTTCAAAATAACAAATATCCAATGAACATAATCAAATATCGAGCAAAATATGTAATAGATTATTTATATGGACATATTGAAACTCTAAATTTCTCAAGTGTTCAATGGGCAGAAATTATGCAAATAAAGTTCGTCCCATCAGAAAAAAATTTTCAAAATTCATTATATGAAGATGTGAAAGAAACTTCTGGATTTGAAAGCTTTGCGGTGCTTTGTTTCCAAAGATATAAGGAAGTATGTTGGACACGAAAGCCTTTATTTGATAAAAGTGTTGAACCAAACAGCTCATTTCTTCTGCGTCGTCCTAAAATTGGAAAACCATCTTCGGAAGATGTTATTAATCATTGGTCTTATGTTGTTGATAAAATTAAATCAAGATCTTTAGTTTGGAGATCTTCAGAGAATTATAGTGTTGTTAAGAAAATAATCAAAAAAATTTATGAAATAATGAATGAATTTTCCAAAGAAACCCCTGGGTTAAGTATTGACCCAGAAGAGAAATTATTCTTGAATGGAGAAGATCCATTTGATGATGAAAATTGGGTAGCAGGAAGTGAGCTTGTATTTGGGGTACAAGAGGATATTAGAAAGGGATTATTACATAAAGTTAATGAATGTTTAATCCCTTACAAGGAATTATTGTTAGTTGCAGGAGCTCTAAAGCTGGAAGAAATAATAGAAGATGAATTAGATTTTAACGAAAAACACGATCAAAAAAGTTTGTTGCTTGATAGTTTGTTGGATAGACTTGTAAAAGGCCTTAATACAAAGCATCATGATGTAATTTTTATTGTCGGTGAGAAGGAATTGAAGTTTGGCGCTAGTCGTTACGTCCTTTCTGGTGAGTTAAGGAAGTTATTATTTTTGCGCTTTATATTTTATTAAATTACTTATTAAAATGCTTACGTCTTTTATCAATAGCCGCATCTAAATATTTTGAGAAAATGTTTTGTGGTCACACAGCTGAGTCAATAGAAAATCAACAGATCGAAATTAGAATAAACGATATTAATCCGGATGCTTTTAAAGTATTCCTTCGATGGTTGTATGGACAATCTTTTGAAACCGCAAAAAATGCTATTTTACGCAAACAAACTGATTTTAACGCAGAACAAGAAGATTATGTTTCTTACTATTTATCATTTCTTGTTGATCTGTTGAAAATTACAGATATGTATGAAGGTGAACCACTTAAAGATATAGTAGAAGTTACGATTATAAAGGGTAAATACATTAATGTCAATAATGTATGTGAAATCCTTGAATGGGCAAAAGATTGCAAAGCTTCAAAACTAGCAACTCGCTGTGAAAAGTATATAGAAAAAAATAAACATATAATCGTGGAGAAAAGGTTGGAACTTTGTGAAACTGAATTGGACGACGAAAGAAGGGAAGAAGAGTCACAAATGTTAGAGTTATTATTAAACAATTAATGGTAATTAACTTTGTGAAAATTTTAGTTGCAAATTCTTTTTAATGTAGTGAATATTTGTTTTTTTTTGTTCATGAGCCACAATTGTATATTCGTCTAGTAGATTTATAACGTTCATATTTATTTAAACTTTATTGATTTGTATTATACATTAATTAAATACTTTTTCAATTATAAAAAGAATGGTCTAAGAAGAAACGAATATATATAAGAAAAAATGTTTTTTATACAAAAGGTAGCTATAAAAAAAAATATATAAAAAAGTACGAACATACGAAATTTATGTATACTTATGAAATAAATTATACATTTCCAGTCCCAGCAGCTAATTTATTCAATACGTTTAACATTTCAGCTAATCTACCCTCCAATAAATTTAATCTCTCACCAATAGAACCTTCAATAGTTTTTATAGAATCCTTTAATGATACTATTTCACTTTGAATACTACTTGCATCTTCAATCATAGGTGATATTACATTTGTAGTTTCAGATAAATCATCATTTTTAAAATTAACTTTCTTATTTGTTGAGCTCTTCTGAGAAGTTTCGATGTTTTCATCACTATCAGCTGTACTCGTACTCCAACTACTATAAAATTCTATCCTACTTTTCCTATTCATTGACTTAATATTCTTTTTATCATAAACATCAACGTCTAACCCAGTTATATCCCATCCTTCCTTTGAAGGCTCGTTATCCTTATCATTATTATCATCATAATATTTATTATAATCATAGAATTTCTCTTTAGTCGACGATTCCCTCAATTTCCAATATTCTTCACATTTTCTTAACCATTTTGTCAATTTATTGATATTGCCTAAATAGAATATATGTCTTGGATTTCCTTTTGTATCTCCAAATGGTTTTTCTAATATTTCATATTCTGCGATTAAATCGGAACGATATTTTAATACTGCTAATCTACCTTCAGACTTAGCCTCATCGAATACACCCCTAAATTAAATAAGAAAAAAATTTTAATAAATTCCTTCGTGAAATAAATAATCTTTATAATTTTCTATACGTTAAATATACTTACGACATAAAAGCGATTAACATATTTTGCATAATAATGACTAATATAACACTAGCGATTAAACTCAATACACTAACAGGCCAAAAATTCCATTGTTGTAATTGATCCCAACGTCCATTAATCCAAAAATAAACAGCTACTACGGATTGAGCAAAATTTGCAAAATAATTGTCTGTTGCTTTATTTAAATCAAACGTTTGATGAATCGTCCCAGTCTTTATTCCATTATTATCTTGTAAATCAAATTGTGTACCATCCGGTTCAAGTCCAATTTTTTCTGGTTCACGAAGTAACAAGTACCTAAAAGTAGGAGAGTAAAAAGTGAAAGAAAGTTAGAGAAAAGAAAAATGAGATAAAGAAAATGTGTACACATATTTTGATAATTACATCGCATGTCCGTGTGCAAGTACCACAATACCTACATGTTATAAAAATTATAGGATTAATTTAAACTCAAAAAAAAAATAAAAAAATAAATTATATATATTTTTAATAAAAAAAAAAAATTTATTTACCCATGAATGCGATGAAGGGCCAGACGTTACGTACAATATTTATAATTATATAAATAAAATTCCCTGTTACCGCGAAATATCTAAGTAACAAGAACTAATAAAAGAAAAGAACGGTTAAATAAATCATAAGAAAGAAATCATTTTTACAATATAAATTATATACCATTTCAATCCATAAAACCAAGATAGTGAAGGACATAGCCACTGTTGACTGTTGTACCTGATTTATTGGTACAGTTCCTCTAGATTCCCTTACCCATGTAACAGTATAAGCAGCTAAAGGCATAATAATACTAGCTAGATCAAAAAAGTTATAAACGCTAATATATCTTCTCCAGCCTTCGTGATAAAATTGTACAATTTCACTAGCCAGTAGATAATAACCCAAATAATAAAAAGTAAATATCAAAAGCTTTACGAAAGCCCTAATATGAACATTTTCTTCATTGTTAGCATTAGCACGCACATTATTTACTACAAAACTATTTTTTAATGCGCCAGTTAATACAGCAAATAAAAGCGCAAAGCAAACGAACAAAAGTGCATGACGCAAGAAATGACTACGCGCGTATTCCCACTTAAAGTCTATTACAGCTTCCATTGCAGGATTATCAAATATCATACCATCCTTATCTTTTCTTACTACTCTAAGGAAGGGGGATAAATTTGATTCTTTTTTAATGGCGTATCCACGTGGCCAAAATAATATACGTAATAATTGAAATGGCAAATTACGAGGGTTTAATTCTTGACTTTTTGTACCTTGAGGATATACAGTGAAATCTGGTAGTGGAACCGATCTTAATGCTACTAATGCTGATGAATCTCCTCTCCCTAATCCTGGTATCACTTTTTGTAATGCTACCAATTGCTGGTTATGCGTAATACTATTAACAAGAAAAAAAGATTAATTGAAAGTTTGGTTACGAATTTAGACTAAAAGTTAATAACATTTTACCTGGTCTTTGATTTATCTATTATATTCGCGATGGGCTGTAATATTTTAAACTTACGTAAGTTACGTAAGCTAATTGGCTTTTCCTTAGGTTCTAATCTGGTATTTGGGTTGAATGCTTTTATATACCTTAATTTACCTTGAGGTAAATCATTGGGATTTATATGCGATTCGTCCAGATGGATTTCTTTCATTCCAAATATAGGCTTAGAGAACAGATCTTTAGCATATGAGTCTAAACGAAAAAAAAAAGTTAAAAATATATTTATTTTCTGTATTTTTTACTACTCCATATTCCATTTAATTTAACTTCTTACCAAGATGATGGTCAAACAATAAAGGGACAGCACAAGACACTGTAAACATCCAGCCAGTATTATCCATTGCATTATCAGAATAATAATCCAGAAGAAAACCGACCATAACCGCATCTCTTTGTCTTCTTCCTTCACTACATTTTATTGCAATCTCTAAATCACTTGTTTTTTGTTTTTTTGGCCACTCGTTCAGTCGTGGAGTATGAAGATATCTCATCCAAGGATTAGATTCTTCATTATTAAGAATTTTTTGTATCAAACGTATACGACGACCTTTAATAAGACTAGCCATAACATCATATCTAACATCAATTAATCTCCAAATAGCGGGGCGTTTCTTAATGAATTGTCTAATCAATCTTTCGGTTCTATGAACCAAGTTTTCATATTCTTGTTGCTTCTGCAGACCAGCTGGATCATCTCTTCTATCGTATAAATGCCAAAGAGCGGAACAAGCATGATTAACAGCATTAACTTCAAACGGCCAATGAAGATTTAATACAGATTCCGTTGTCATAGATTGATTTGATTTTATATGAAGACAAACTTCAAACTCACGTTGTCCGATTTTCAGTGATTCAATAGAAATTTTTTTGTCTTTTGGAGCAACCCAAATATATTTAAGTTGTTCCTTTGCATTTACATCTTTCCTATACCATACTTGTACGGTTGTCACTCCGATGAATAATTGAGTCGTTCTTTCGTCATCCAAGAAAGCAGATATACGAGCATATCCTTTAGAATGTATCCAAGGTTCTTTATCGAATACTATAACAGGTTTTGTTTCGGCATTATCACGTTCTCCATCTTGATAAAATATGGTATGGTGAACAGATAAATCCCATTCAGATTCACGAAGATACTTTACGTCAAGTGTAATTAAACCTTTTTTTGATTTAATAGTAGGAACGAGTATTTCTTTAACAAGAGTATGATCCAATACGGACGTAACGCTTCCATCAGAACCAGCAAGTATAATATTTCCACAACTTCTAACTAATTTATAACTTCCAGATGAAAATAATTCCGTAGCATCTTGTAATATTCTAATAGCATTGTCCATATAACTAAATAAATCCCAAACGATGATTAAGGGTATCAAACTTTCTTTTTCTTGTGCAATGATAATTAAAGATTCATCATCATTTATAAAATCTACCGAAAGAATTCTTTCAACTCGAGGAAAACTTTGTGTTGAGATTTCCAATGAATTTTCTATTAAGTAAATTGTAATCGAATTAGCGCCACGACAATAAGCTAATAATGCATTATGTTTTGAAATGGCCACAGCGGGATTTCCATGACCAAATGCTGTTACTGCTGATTCTGCCCTTTGATGGAACACCATTTCTAATTTATCAGTTCTTAAATTATACATTTCCACCACTTGTACTCTATCTTTATAATCTTCAATTAAAAAGTAATCATTTTCTATGCTCCTACTTAATAATTCCAAACATGGAGTATTTTGATAAAGTTTTTCAAGTTCAGCTTGAATTTTCAGTGGAAAATAGAATTGTTGAAGTTGAGAAGATGATGAAAATATATTCAACCATGAATTATTATTATTCTCATTATTAATAACGTTATTCGACATTACAATATTATCCAAATCAAAAAAAGTTTTAGATATTCCGTTAGCATTTACAACAACTATTGTAACAGTTTGTGGTTGCAATGGGTCATCATTTAAAAATCTAACCAATCCACCCGAATCATCAATTGCTGTTAATATTCTTGAACTATGAAGTGTTGAAATTATAAAAGTTGTCGAGTTTACTCCTTTAACTCCTTTTTCTTCATCATATGTTGGGTGATTTTTCTCATTTTCTAAATCATCACTCGATTGATTATATGCAATTGTTGACATTGAACTATTCGTTACTGATTTACCTAACATCATTTCACTTTCATCAAAACAACTTAGGGCTATTAATGTATCAGAGTATGATTGTACGTTGTTGCCCATTTGTATAATATTAATCGGATTGGAAACTGCTAATGACCATACCAATTTAACGGAAGATACGGAAGATCTAATTTCATCAAGAGCTTCACAATTTACTGGGCGTTGCTTAAATAATGAATCAACTTGACAAATATTTAACTCGAGCGTAGCTATAATTGATTATGAAAATAATTAAACTCTAAATAAAATAAAATAAAATAAAATTCTAAAAAAAAAAAATAAATACCTGAGTTAAAGGTGGCAACTTGTCGACCGTTTGGACTAACTGCTACATGATGTGTAGGATATAATTTTTTATCGGAATTTTCTATATTTCCAACACCACTAACACTTCCTGTAAAAGTATCCTTCGAGGTTTCGTATAATATATCCATATATATATATATATATATAATGTATAGTATTTTAACTACGAATACTTTTTTTTTCAGTAATTTCAAAAAAAATTTCTTTTACTCAATAAAAGAAAATTTTTTCTAAAAAAAAAAAAATAAAATAAAATAAAAAATAATGAGAAATATATATATATGAAAATGGGGAATTAAAAGGAAAGGAATGAAATTGGCTTTTTTTTTTTGTTTTGACAAGGGAAAGAAGGAATAAGGAAACAGTGGTCCTGTTAGAAACATTTGTGTAATTCGTGTGTACAGGCTAATAATTGTTAATATATATGGCGGATCTTTTTAAATTAACAAACAAAAATGTATAAAATAATTTATTTTAAGCCTGACGTACGTACTATTGTTGTTATATTAATATTCTATTATATTATTCTTTATATAGATCATGATGTACGATACCAACCAATAAGAAAGAATCTTTTATTATGAAACTTGGGGAATAATTTGTAAAATAGATGATGTTGTGCAAACATCCCAAAAAATTTTTTACCTGAGGAGGCTATACGTATTGTGATACTAAATTTGAGAAGCAAAGTTACTTGATCTGTATCACTTTACTTTCTGGCCGCATATATATGTAATACAAGGTATGCTGGTCAAAGATGGTAACACGAGAAGGGTTAAAGAAACATAATTCGTAAAATTCATAGAATTCGTAATTTCGTTAAACTTACATAAAAATATTATCAATGTCATATTTGGTAAATAAGTTTCCCTCCCTGAATTAAATAATTTAAACTTACGCCACAAGATTAAACAATCGATATCATTTAATTCGTGTTTCTAAATATAGTTTTTTTTTACTAAGCATATCATTCAAAAATATGCGTTGTAACGCTATCATAGGCAGCAATATTAATTTCTTGGCATTATTTAGATCGAAGCATTTCTTGTAAGCCTCAATTATACAAGTTTATAGCGTAGAAATTAATTCGTTTTCCCGATTGTTAGATTATCAAGTAATCTCCGATTTTACCATATGATAATTATGTAACCATTGTTGTTTCAAGAATACCGCACTGCACAAGATATCCCTCTTTGATAATACCCCCATGTAAAGTATCCATTTCTAAAAATCTGCATAATTTAAAAATTTTTTTCAGGGGTACAAAATAACTTCTGAACCTAGGTATTTTTATATTATACCCGGGGTATCTTGTGCAGTGCGGTACGGTACCCTAAGTTTCAGTTTTTTAAGAAACTGAACGGACTAAGCCAAGCAAGCATGCACTTACGTTGATACATTCCATATATATATCAGAATGGTCACATATAATTTACGCGATAACGTGATATCATTTGTTTCTCGTCACGTGCTATCAGAAATTCAATTAGATGGTAAATAACGTGACTTCTCAGTAGTATTTATTTTTTTATCATAAAATGAATAAAAATGAATAAATGTTTATATAATATGCATTTATTACTACTGTTCTGTAAAAATAAAAATAAAAATAAAAATAAATGTTATGTAATATCTAATGTATTAATGTGATAAAAGACACCTTTAATACACACATTTAGCTATCAATAGAGATAATTTTGGGCCTAGGTCCAGCCTCGGTCCATCCTAAAAATCATTAGACTGAAGCTCTCATGAAAACATAACGTTTAGAAAATATTCACTCCCAATGCACAAAGCAGCTGAAAGACTTCCAAGAACTTTACAATCTCATCTAATGAGAAACGTAATGTCGCAGACTTTATTTGTAAAACTGTATAAAAATGTTTTCTATTAGGGCGAAGTTCACTTAGTGTAATTCGTCACTAATATAATTCACAAATGTAAGAATTTAACAATCAAAGAAACTAGTAATAACATCACACTAAGTATACTACCAATACACTGAACCATACTGTAAATGTGCGCAAGTTCTTAACATTTTCTGCGCTCTTATCTAGGTAATCTCTGAGTAGAGATACCGCCCTCGGTGTCCTCTCTTACATGTTTTAAAATGGCATTCTCGGGACCTCCTGAAATTTCAATGAATACAATCTCTTTGTTGCTTGCGACTTTCATACCAATACCATCTACTTTATTTAATGTTAAATCAAACTCTGGAAAACAACTTCACATCTTTAATACAGTCAGCTTGCACTTCAATCCAATCAAACATGTATTCTTTGTAAAATGATTAAATTTCCTTTGAATAAAGCAACAATCCTATCTACGGTGTGTTCCTTTCCCCAATATTGTGATTCATTGTATTTTCGTTGATCATAGAGAAACTGAATTTAATCAGTATAAGTTAGTCGGCCATTCCAAGAAAGAGGACACATTAGAGTCCTGGAAAAAAACAAAGTCATAAAGAATAGTTTCACAAACCTTCCGAAATTGATAATCAGCAATCAATGGAGTCATTATAGTACTCTTGGATGCACCTTTCTCTGATTAAGTAAAGAGATCTTTAATAAATATTTGATTTAACATCGAGGTTGATGTTTATTACTAATAATACATATACAAGCCACAAATTTCTTCTGGAATTACATCGACTCGATCATCTTTCCTGATTATACGTTGATTGTTAACATTTATCGAAAATATTTTGCTAAATATTGTATAGAATGTTCGCTGAGGGTTGGTTTTCGTGGTGTAGGTATAGTCATTTCGCGTGGTCTCAGATGTGGTATCTTGAGTTGATTACTTAAGCGTAGCTTTTAAAAATGAATTACGTAAAACACATTTCAACTCACGCCATCATCATTTGATTTAGTAATAGCCATTCTCCTAACCACGCACTTTCGTTTGATTCTAATCTATTAGATAGAAACCAATGTGCTGCCAGTCGAATTCTTCATGAACGGAACACTAATTTTCTTACCCGTTTCTCCTCAATCATCCAAATAGCCTTGTCCGTTATCTCATTTTTCAACTGCAACAAAAGATAATATATATATATAATCTGTTTTATAATACATATATATAATATATATATAGTCAATGAGCGATGGAAGGTGGGAAACGCAACTCCATATTTCATATTATCGCGAGAACGCAGCTTCTTCAAATTCACCCTACACTCAAGACGAGGGCGGGGAGCGCAACCTCATACTCCATAAATACACTGATTCTTACAGGAACGTAACCCGTTGGAATTCCCACATCTCTTGCAGGAACGGGACCGCACATTATAAATAAACTTTTCGATAAGTCTTTCGTCACATTTCTTCCAAAGGTATTTTTGTCTGTCCATGGTTTATCTTTAAATTGTTCGACTATTATTTCTTTTTTACACATGAAATTACTATAGGATATTTTTGCAGAACGCGTTTCTTCGAAATACGCGCTGGTTTCTGTTCATAGATAAGATATGCAAGAAAGTCAGAACTCAGATATGTTGAACCTACCTTTATCGAAAGACATTTTGCTTAAAAAAACCTCTTAAAAAAACCTACAGAATCTTAAATTATACTCGTATATAATATATACGTCGTAACTAGCCGGAGTAGTTGTCTCGTCCTGTAGATATGTAGAAACGTACGATATTTATTTAGTCGCATAAATTTTTTACCGATAAATTGGTTTAAAAAAAAAAAAATAGAAAAAAAAGTTGATTTTCTAAAAATAACTCATTGCACGGCTTTATAAATTAAATTACTATTTTTTAAAAAAAATAACTTGCAAACCTTATATATTATAATATTTATATCTAACAGGATGCCCACCTGACGCGTGCGGCGTGCCACTCGTCACATAACATTAAGGTATAATTAAACATTAAAATTTCCAAGCTTAATGAATTTTTATTATTAAAGAAATTTATCAAAAAATGTGTAATACAAAAATATCAGAATAATGAGAAACTTCAATCAATACCTGACGTGCGTCAGTTACCCTTTCCAATGATACATGTATATACTAAATAAATTGTGAGACAAATAAATTTTATTAGTTAGATTTAATTATGTTTAAATATAATACAAGAATAAAATGATCCCCCTATAGAAACTTATTAAATTGCTAATAAAAATGTGCCATTTTTGTATAATTATAAAAAAAAAAAATATTTTGTTCAGGTACAAGCGTATAGTAAAAATCTCAGTATATTCAATTCAACTGGTTGACTGAATACCACCATTCTTTTTCGCCTTACCTTTTTAATTTTTTCAAATTTATAGATTGCTCTTGAGAATTAAAAATTATTAGCCAAATTTGAACACATGGGAATAGGGCTTTGGTTCTGTTGAAACCAGGTAGAACATGAGATCAATTTTTGATTCATTATTAACATTAATTTTATAATTCACGTCGGTCTGATTTTGAGTGTTTCTTTTAAACCAGTGAGTTTTGTTCAGTTTGAATTTAAAATTGTTATTAATCCAAACTTAGGAACTAGTGTTTATGATTAGCAAAAGTATTCACATTTTAAAAAAAAAAGTTTTTTTGATATGATATCTGTAATTTGAATAGTATTTTAGTTTTAGCGGACTTTTAATTAATTGTTATATGGTGTCGATACGTTACTACTACCTTTACTACCTTGTTATATATGGTTTATTTATTTATTTATTCATTTTTTTTTTTAATACAATTCCATAATGTTAACAAAGAAGATTAGTATCTATTATGGTGAGAATAAAGAAATTAAATTTAGAAATGAGTACGCATTATTGTAATTACCATAAGCAATTATTTTATTTTAATATTATTTGTAAAATGATAACGTTTTATCACAACTTTAATTCGAATTTTTTTTAAATAAAATACGGAGGAATTGAGTTATTTTAATATATAAAATTTATTTACAAAATCAAGTCATAAAAAAACTGAGGAATTATTGTTTGAACTTTTTTCACACATAGCCCATATGGTCTAATATCTTTTTCATTAGGTGTAACCCAATACTTTCCACCTTTATGTTCATCAAACCCTACAGGATTAACTCTATTTTGAAAAACAGCTTTATATAAAGTACCATTGTGTTTAAATATTTTAGCATATCCTTCAGCTATCTCAATTATAGGAGTTGAATATATTCCTTTTCCATATGAAAAGCGTTTTCCTTTATCAAGACGATAACCTTCTCCAGCAATAGCATTAAAAAATTCTTTTTTTGTACCATGATAAGAAACTGGCCATTCATAAGGACTATTACCAACGCAACCCAACCATCTATCATCATGACCGTGTTTTCTTGAAACATTAAGGGCTATTCTCTCCCATCCATAAGGCCTTCTATACAATACTCGCTTCCCACGATAATATTTTTCTTCATCATCTTTTAAATTCGTGAAATTATAATCATATTTAGGGTCTAAAAAATCTTCTGTGATAATGCAGTAATTTTTGATAGCACAGGAATCCATGTTAAAATTCCCTCCCAATAGTCGAAGTGAAATATGTACATTATCACCTTGTTGAATGTTGTAAGATCTTAAAGTTCTATGATCTTCCAATCGTCTATTAGCAAATTCAAGGCGTATTAGTTTGATATCATATTCAAGCTTATCTTGAATGATATACTTCAACTCAAGAACAGTGTTATGTGGGTCCACAAATATTGCCTGACTGTCTCCAGAAAGGTTGATGACAAAAATTTGAATAAGATTAGAGATGGTGAAAGTAAGGAAAGTGTCTTCAATTTCATTAACTTCATTTCTAACATACATTAAGGAATTATGAATGAAATTAAGATCTAAAATTTGTTCAGGTGAAATGGTATATCCATTAGCTATACATTCATCATAAGTTTTTACAGGAATATCAAGTATAGAGGACATTGCAGAGGCAACAAGAGATAATTGAGACATTTTTTTTTTTGTTTATCCTTTTTTTGCCGTTATCTTATTGTCCGGAGTCTACTTTTTATATTATTTTTTTTTTTATTGAGAGTATTAATACGGTTAGTACTAAATCTACATCTATATTATATAACTAAAAAAATACATAAAAAAATCGTAACGTTTAGACTAGCATGTATAAATAGTTTTGAATTGTGTAATATATTTTCTGCTTGCGCCTAATCTATTCCATGTTAGCGTAAGTTTTTTTTTGTTCTTTATTTTCTAGATTATTTAGGTTAATATCGGTAAGTTCAAGTTATGAATTCCGAATTGCAGATCATCAATATTGTTACCGAAATTAGATCATTTGTTTAGATCATTTGTTGTTAATTTTATCCACTAAACACGTAATTTTTTTTATATAAATATTTTTTCCCGTTATGACTTTTTTTTGTTATTTGATTTTTTTTTAAATACTTTTTGACTTTTTTCGATTATAACAATTAGGCAATATAAAGTTAAAAAATTGGTTCTCATATCAAAATTTGCTTCAATTTAACCCGGCCGCACGGCTTTTTACTTTTTTTTAGAATAAAATTTTTTTTCATCCGATCATGTAATACGGAAGATTTCATATGTAACATTTATTTTAATATAGCAATTCAATAAAAAGTCAGACAGATTTTATATATCAAGTTAATTACAAGTTTATTTCTCATGTTTAATTGTAGTTTTTTAAAAAAAAATTTTTTTTTTATTGTTCATTAAATGTTAGGCATTTATGGCAGATATATAAGATATGCGTACAAATTTAATGTATCATGTGACATAGCTTAGAGCAATTTGATTGGTTAACAAAAAAATAAAAATTTAAGATTCCCCGCTCTGACCCGGCCGGGATATAAGAACCAATTTTTTACCTTTATGTCGCCTTATTTGATAAACGTTATTATTTTTTTTAATTAAAATACTATTTTTTGGTTTTTTTTTTACATAAATTTTTTTATAAAATAATAAGAAATAATTATAAAATTTATAATTAATTAATAATAATATTTGTAATATTTTTCACAATATTAAAATTTTTTCGAAAATACTTCTAAAAAGTTAATCAATTTTTATTGATAATTATTTTTTCACAATTCCTTAAACCTTAATTAAACGTCAAATCTTTAATATAAATAACTACATTGTTGTAAATATAATCGGGAATTGCTAAACGTTGCCTGGGTGATTTGTCGCCTGGATTTTTTTAAATGTCACATGATATACAATATATAAAGAATAAATTTATTGATCTGATTTTTTCAAACTTAGCTAGGCTAAACTTAAAAATTTTATCGCAAACATCTATTTTAAAAAAAAAAATTTTTTGCAAGCATATTTATCCAAAATAATCTTATCTAATAAAATTTTGTAAATATTAAATTTTAAATCGCACATTTACGATTTTAAAGAAAAAAATCACTGTATTTTATTTTTTAATGAAGTGATACAAATAAAAGAAAAGATAAGTAAATTACAATGATCAAGAAAAAATATGCTAATAAAAAATGAAATAACAATGGAGTAATGAGAAGTAATAGAAGATGAAAGGGAGTAAAAAAGAGTAATGAGAAGTGTTAGGAAGTAAAAAGGAGAAATGAGTAATAGGAAGATGAAGAGGAGTGATGAGAGACGAAAAGGAGTGATGGGAAGATGAAGAGGAGTAATGAGAAGGTGAAGAGGAGTGATGGGAGACGAAAAGAATGGAATAATAAGAAGTAATAGGAGGTGAAAAATGATGAGAGATAAAAAATAAAACAATGATCATGATAGGAGGTTGGGTAGCAAAAGATAATGGTAGGAAACCAAGTAAAAAATAAACCATTAAGTAAAAAAAAATGAAGTAAGAAACGAAATATAAGATAGAAACAAAATAAAATAAATAAATAAATAAATAAGAAATAAAAAACATACCTTTATTAATTGTAGAACCGAAAAAAACTAAAAGATCTAAAAAATGAAATAAAATTAGTGAAAAACGAAATACGAAACAGAAACAAAATAAAAAAAATAAAAATAAGAAACGAAATGTAAAGTGAAAAACAACTGAACCTTAATTGCAGAACCGGAAAGACTAAAAGACCTAAAAATAATGAAATAGAGTTAGTAGGAAACAAAATGTAAGGATGTAAGTTAGAAATAAAAAGAAAAAAAGAAAAATACCTCGAGACCGAAATAACCGAGAAAACGAACCTTGAACCTATAATGAAATGAGATTCTATAAACAAATAAATATGACAAATCTGCCGCATGATCGAAGACCCAGGCGATGTTTACCAATTCCCAATATAATTTATATCATTCTAATATTATAATTATAATTTAGCACATATTATTTTGTTAACTAATTATTACCTAAATTAAATTCCTAATTATAAACAAAAAACTTGCTGTAACCATCTTTAATTTACTTGGTATTACATTATAATACTAAAATTTTCTATTTAAACAAACTCATTGGTCCCGGTGCGGAGCAACGGGTAACTGCTAGTATATACTCAAACTTTCTCAATTTTCTCAAAACTCCTTGAAAAAATAGACTTTTAAAAATTCATTTTATCACTTTACAGATTTATATCCTACTCTGCGTTTTCTCGTGTTCTCGTGTTTACTTTCGAATAACTTTGTCTTTTATTTCAATAAGAGCGTCGCAACAGAAGGTGTAGAAATGTCATTTGAGGAGACCCGAGAGACCAGACGAATATCTACAATTAATCAGGTAAGCGACGTTTAATACTGTTTAAGAACAATAGTAATATGGCTAACGAGCGACTGCAACAGATCTGTGCGATAATTGATCAATTATTGGAGCGAAAACCAAAAGGTGATGTCGTCAAGGTCCCTCTTCCTAATGAACTAGATAGAACAGTGTTGGCGCGCCTATACTTGAAGCAATACATGCAAAATATAATGCTGACAGGGTTGGAAACGATTTATTTATTAAAGTAAGTTCAATTATAGCCTACACGCCCGTATATATCATTTATTAATCCTAGAAATTTTATATTTATAATTTAGTATGATGGATGTGCCAAGGAAGCTATCCATCGTCGACTAGCGAATTTGGCTGAAGCACACAATCCAGCCCGGTATGTAGTAAATCACGGAATATGTATTGTTAGAGGCATAGAACGTCGACCCGACGTTGGTGTGTGGCACACTCAACCGACGCGTAGACAATGCATTAAACCTATTATTTATAGGTGTCCTCCCCGACGTATGGGTAGATGTAATTGTATTAAATCTTTATTTAGGAAAAATGTAAATGGTTTGAGACTTATCAGATCTGAATTCTTGCATATATATAGAGATTAGGACCGAGCAAATGCAGTAAATAGGATTACCCATGCTCAACAACATTGGATTGGGATTGAATATATCGGCATTGCTATACCTGAATCCATTCGTCGAAACCCGAATCCCCAACAAGCTTCAGTTGCTGTAATTGCCCAAAACAACATCTCAAACCGACCTCTATATGCTATCCATTGGGACGCAAATAATAACCAAATTTATTATCCTTATAACTGGAATACACATCTATTACTTAGATGTGGATGGACACTTTGATTTTAACTTTGTTCTTAGAGAACTTTCGCGATAGATAGTTACTATTATACTCATTAAATATAACATAAATAGCTTTCATTGCATATGAATTACACAATAAAGTATCTCTAGAAACTCTTGAATTAGTAGGTCTGAAAAGTTATCCGTTATGTTTACAAATAAAATAAAAATCATAAATGCGAATTGATATTGATTGCTAAAAAGAAACGTTTTTATTACAAATAGCGTGTAGGTAAACACGCAAAAATACAAAAGTTAAAATGTGAAATATATAATAATTACTGCATTTACACCATGATAGATTTATGTAACACAAGACTTTTTTGGCTTTCCCATACTTTTTTAATATTTCCGGTATAATTAATTAAAAAAAGCAGATTAAAAATGCTGAAAACTGTAAAATTAAACCCGCGTGTACATGATGTATTTATTATATACATACCGATTAATTCTAGCAAAATTTATTGCGACGGGCAGAATTATGAGATGAAGGTCATTTCTGAAAAGGAAATAAACTCGGTTGGATCCAATATTACTATAAATGTGAAACCAAGAAAAAAATTTAAACCAGAAAAAATACGATACCATATTTGTAACCTGTCAGGTACCTGCTACAAGTTCTGCCGCAAATCCAGCGGTTATCTGCTGTGAATTCAGCCACAAATTCAGCAGGAATCTGCCGTGAAAAACGCAGATATCTGTCATGAAAGTAACAGGTACCTGCTGTGATAGCAGCAAAACTTTTGACCTGAACGGCTTGCCATAATCTCCTTACACAACGTCAATGAATGGCGCGTGACATTCGGAAAATCCATATATTTATTACAAGCACTAAAAATTCTTTGCTTAAATTATTAAATTTTCCAGGCTTAATAAATTTTTATTATTAAATAAATTTATCTATCACATTAAAAATAAAAATATCAGAATAATCAGATTGATTAGACTCAAACTCGACGTGCGTCAGTTATTTTATCCAATGATATATACCAATATTATTCTAGTGTATAACAAAAATGGTATAAAATTATTTTACAATATTACAATTTTTTTATAAATCATAATATTGAGATTTGATAAATAATTTATACCATTTGATTCATCTACAACCAATCTAATGAAAGTATATATAGAAATATAGTAACAAATTCTTTAGTTAAAATTATATTATTATTTCCCAGAATTGTGGAATGGAACATAAAATCTTGATTATGTAAGTGACAAATATATTAGTTTTACAAGAATAAAACGATCCCAACCCACACACAAACCCACACTCCCAACCCACGCTCCCAACCCACACTCAATTGCTAATAAAAAGGTGCCATTTTTATACTAATATTATTCAGTATTAGCAATTTTTTACATTAATTCGCAAAGTATAATAGTATACGTTTTTGAAATAAACGTTAAAAAAGTAAAGTTTCTTTGTAAAAGATAGTCAGAAAGAAATATAAAATTACAGTACGATAATTAACGTTAACGCTATCACGTGCAAGTGCATAACTCGGGCCAGTTTGTACGTAAGTCTCCCATAATTTTATTTGCTAATGACAATAAGTAACCCATCAGTTTTATAATGAGCCCATCAACTGAGCTTAAATATTAATTGGCTTGATTTTTCCAATCAGCCGATATGGTTAGTGTTTACTAACAGCAAAATACGGTATAGTATATTTTTAATTCATCACTCTTTTTCGCCTTTACCTTTTTAATCTTTTTCAAATTAGGAAATTAAAAATTATTAGCCAAATTTGTAACCTTGAACATGGGAATAGGAAGGTTCCACTTCAGTTCTACTTCGTTTTCTTGAAACCAGAGGTAGGGCATTAGAAACGTTAAGTAACGGTCATTTTATAATTCACGTTAATAATGTCGGTCTGATCTTTTTAATCAGTTTGGAGTTTTGTTCAGTTTGAACTTTTAAAATTGTTAAAGTTTCTGGATTGATCCAAACTCAGGAACTAGGGTATATATTTAGCATATTGGATTTAAAGTTGATAGCGCATTTTTTTAAAAAAAAAAGCTTTTTTGTAATTTGAATAGTATTAATATTATATTATAAATATATATATATTTTTGAATACAATTCCATAATGTTATTGGTATCTATCTTGGAGAACTATCGTTTGAATATTATTTTTCACACACAACCCATATGGTCTAATATCTTTTTCATTAGGTGTAACCCAATAATCTCCACCTTTATGTTTTTTAATCCCTACAGGATTAACTCTATTCTGAAAAACAGCTTTATATGAAATACCATTGTGTTCAAATTCTTTAGCATATCCTTCAGCTATCTCAATTATAGGAGTTGAATATATTCCTTTTCCATATGAAAAGCGTTTTCCTTTATCAAGACGATAACCTTCATCGGAAATAGGATTAAAACATTCTTGTTTTGTACCATGATAAGAAACCGGCCATTCATAAGGACTATCGCCAACGCAACCCAACCATTTATCATCATGACCGTATTTTTTTGAAACATTAAGGGCTATTCTCATCCATCCATTCGGTCTTCTATACAATACTCGCTTCCCACGATAATATTTTTTTCCGTTATCTTTTAAATTCGTGAAATCATAATCATATTTAGGATCTAAAAGATCTTCTGTGATAATGCAGTAATTTTTGATAGCACAGAAATCCATGTTAAAGTTCCCTCCCAATAGTCGAAGTGAAATATGTACATTATCACCTTGCTGAATGTTGTAAGATCTTAAAGTTCTATGATCTTCTAATCGTCTATTAGCAAATTCAAGGCGTATTAGTTTGATATCATATTCAAGCTTATCTTGAATAATATACTTCAATTCAAGAACAGTGTTATGTGTATCCACAAATATTGCCTGACTGTCTCCAGAAAGGTTTATGACAAAAATTTGAATAAGATTAGGGGTGGTGAAAGTAAGGTAAGTGTCTTCAACTTCATTAACTTCATTTTTAACATACATTAAAGAAATATTATGAATGAAATTAAGGTCTAAAATTTGTTCAGGTGAAATGGTGTATCCATTAGCTATACATTCATCATAAGTTTTTACAGGAATATCAAGTATAGAGGATATTGCAGAGGCAACAAGAGATAATTGGGACATTTTTTATTGTTTATCCTTTTTTTGCAGTTATCTTATTGTCCGGAGCGTAACAAAGAATATACTTTATATACTATATCATTTTTTTTTATTAATACGGTTCGTTTTTCATGTGAAAAAATTCACAAATAGTTCACATGGTCATGTGATATTTGAAGCAATTACATATTTACATGATTGAAAAATGTCACGAATAATCACGTGATCTTCTATCACCGGTCGTCAGTCGTCACCCTCCGTGTTCCATATTTCATAAGTATCTGAGGCAAAATCCTATTCGTCACGCAGTATCTGTCACATATGCGTCAGACGCATAATTCGCGAGATTTTGTGGCTATAAAAGCATTCTTTTTTGTCGCAATTGATATTTACCTTATTTCGCTGTCAAAAGGTTTACCACTGGTTTTTATACCGTACCGCACTGCACATAATACCCCAGGTATTATACAAAATACTGATTTAAAAATTATATAATACCCGTAGGTACTTAGATACCAGGTATTATATGAGGGGGATACATAATAATTTTAACCAGAATTAAGCTAAAGTTACTAGAATTAAAGGGGGGTACTAATTGAGAGTAAAAATTTTATTTCTAGTAAAATCCTGGGTCTTATAACGTGGGGGTACTAACTTTGGGAAACTACAGTCAAATCTCGATATACTGAACCCACGGTTTGGGAGTAAAAGTTCGATATATAGTAGAGTTCGGTAAAGCCAATTTTTATTATATACCGAACCCCTAAGTTTTTTCAGTGAAAGTTCGGTATATAAAGAAAATCACGTGATTAATATCCCAATTTCGGCCAGAATTAAGATGTCTTAATTTAGGCAAAAATTAAGTGGTTTTAATTCTGGCCGAAATTAATTAATTTCAGGCGAAATTGGCAAATCATGTGACTGAGTTCGGTATATCAAAAATTCTTTTACTATGTTTTATAATACGCGGTGAATCAATAAAAGTTCGGTATACGTTATACAAAGTTTATATGATGTTCGGTATATCAAGATGTTTTTAAATACTGGTTTTTAAAAAAAAAGTTCGGTAAGTCGAGAGTTCGTTACATCGTGGGTTCGTTGCATCGAGATCAGACTGTATAGGCAGTGCGGTACGGTATTATTTTCTTGAATGATGGAAGAACGTCCTATAGTCTTATGGGTGTAATGAAGACACCACATTGACAAATTTTTATTCAACATACTCTCCTTAAATCTGAAATTTTTAAAATTTATATATACCGGAACAGGACCCAGAAATATAAATATAGGGGTCAGGTGATGAAAAAAATTTTTTACTAGGAGCTGTACGCATTTTTTCAGGGCCGGAATTATGATAATGCCGGTCGGTTACTATAATAGGAAATAAAATTCTGACTGGCATTATCTAAAATTATCTAAAAAAGGAAAGATTTTCATGATCTTTTTAGGCAAACTCAAACCTGACCCTTATATATATATTTCTGGAACCTCGATATAACGGATCATAAGTAAAACCTTGATATAACGGAATTGACTAACGTATAATTAATTTACCCTCGATATGACAGAATTCTGATATAACGGATTTTTGACAAATTTTACTAATGGAATGGATGGTTCCATTATATAGAATTTCACTGTGTATATATTGACACTATTTATTTGGTTCTTTAGGGTTTCAATAGGGTTAGCCTTAAAATTTTACTCCTTAGTTTATTAAATTCTTTTGAATTTTACATAAGCTGTCAGGAAAAAACTTCATCACAACATTAAAAATGGAACTAATTTTATTATAGGTATTTTTATAGTGTTTTGCGCATCCTTCACAAAATACTTCTAGGAACAATTTTTCTCAAAAAATTTATCGACACACCCGGTATTTTATGCAAATGCATAGAAATAAAAACCTGTTTTATAATATAAATATTTGATTTATTTATACAGTATAAAAGTTAATGATTAATAATGTCTTTTAATTCGACCAGTTTTTCCATATCCTTCTTTGAAAAATATTTGTCCTTAAAAGTTTCTGGAACATTCGGATGTAATTTATGAATTGGTAAGAAATGGCCCATTTTAGGAAAATAGATTTTCTCTCTTTTAGATCGTATTAATCGAACATAATCCATTTTCTTTAAAATAAATTTAGAACATTGATTAGTAACCAACAATAATCATTAATTATAATTATAATTTCAATAAACATGTACCAAAATAATAGAATGAGGATTAGACTCAATTGAAGGTCGCCATTCTGTATAATTCGTGTTTGATGTAAATGGGAGTGTATATTCAATCCAACCTAATCCACTAAGTTTTAACACATCCTCATATTTTAGCACATGTTTTTGCGAAAAAATTTCAGCGTTCTGATATTTGAAGTAATATATTCATAAATACTTCAATATTAGTAAAACAAAAATAAAAGATTTTTCAACAGTTAACAAACTCACATCTTTTCCTTCTACAATTACAAATTTTATAAAACAATTTTTAGATAATATTTCTTTGACATTTATTTTCCAAGTTATGAAATATGAAGATATTTCATGAGTATCAGTAAGTTTGGGTAAACTTATAGGGAGTGATTCATCTTTAAAGGATAAGACCTGTCCCAATAAACTTTAGATGAAAAAATAATTAATTTCATTTCAAATAATTCTAATTGGTAAATAATTATAACACTGAAGAAATGAAGTTTACCTATTTGAATCACTTTCAAGAAATTGATAAAATTTACAGTTCAGATTTATAAGGTTTGAAACAAAAAAAACATTTTTCACTATAAAATAATAATTAAAATATGTGTTACTATATAATTAAATTGAAATAAGAGATTTAAATATCAATTATTACCTTTATACATATAAGTACTAAAATTGTCAACAATTCCAAGTTCCGTGAATTCATTATTACTAATTTCATAATAATCACACAAGTACGACCAAAAATCCGAATACTCTCGTAATAAATAAGTAAATGAAATATCATCATTATTTAATTCAAATAATCTATTTAAATCCAACATCGCTTCATCATATTTCTTTAATTTAATATATATTTTACACTTCATAAAAAGTAATGAATTATCATCATTAATATTAGGAATATTAAGATCATTGTCATCTGACAAATCTCTTAAATGATAAGTGATCATTTTTGATAAGTTATCATTGGGATCTAATTCTATGCATTTGTCAAAAGCTTTGAGGGCATTATTAACATTTTCCATAGTGTAATACGTTAATCCCTTATAATAATATGCTATACAACTTGAGGAATCTAATTTTATAACCCTTTTTAAATCCAACAAAGCATTATCATATTCTTGAAGAAGATAATAAGTAATAGCCCTTTTAATTATGACATGAGTATTTTCGGGATCTATATTATACGCTTTTGTAAAGTAAATTATTGATTCGTCATATCTTTTTAAATTATTAAGAATTTCTCCATAGTAGCATAAAATTAATGAATCATTCTGTTTAATAATAGCTAACAATTTATTCAACATATCTAAAGCATTCAAATAATTTTCTTGATTTGCATAAATATATGCGCAATTTTTAAGACATAAATAATTGGATGGATTATCTTTCAATGTAATATTATAATTTTTTAACGCACAATTATAATCATTATCTTTTTCTTGGTGCTTTTCTTGATTTTCTGCTTTAAGGAAATAACTATTACCTAATATTATGGATACATTATTTTTGAACTTATAATTTATTGAAGTATTTAAATCAAATATTGCAAGTTCGTATTGACCTTGTCTGAAAAAAATTTCCCCACGAATGTAATATGCTATTGGATTTTTTTTCTTTAATTTAATAGCTTCGTTTAAATATAAATTTGCTTTTTCATAATAATGAATATTTCTATAAGCATAAGCCAAAATGCATCTCATGGTGTAAGTTTTGGGGAATTTCTCTACATACTCTTTACATTTTAATATAGCCTGCTCGTAATTTTTTTCTTCTAATTCTTTTATAACATTCTGATATGCTGGGTTTTGCTTTTTTGATTGAAACATTAGTTGTAATAATCTTGAATTTAATTTAATTTCTTTAATTTCTCTAATAACTTTCATTTTTTTATTTAGCATAATGTCAGCTTCTTCCTCGTCAGCAGAATTGTCAGAATTGGTATTATCATGATTACTATCCGATTCTATTGAAGGTAAAATGAATCCAGCTTCAAAAAAATATGAGTATAGATTTTTATAAATAACTTGCTGTGATAGATATCTAATATCATTTTCTTCAATTATTTCTCGGCATTCAGGACATTTAAGATCTTTAGAATTATTATTTTGTTTAAACTTATTCAAGTTATTTAATGAAATCATATGTTGACATTTTAAAAAACACAATTGGTCTGTTGGTTCCTTGCTAATTGAACAAGTCATTTCAATTGCAATAAAATCTAAAATGTTAATATCATTTTTCTTTTGCTCTTGTTTGGGAACATTTTGTTCTAAACTTTTTCCTTTCTCTTTTTTCATCTTATCATTTAAGATATTAAAATCTTTAAAGCATTTTTCTTTAATAAATTTTAATAATATTTGAAATTTTTCTGAAGAATCCGTTACATTAATTTTATTTAATTTTTGAATATATTGATCAAGATCATGTTCTATCATTGAAAATAATTCATTATTAATGTTATGTAAATGTAATAATATTTCAATTGCTTTAAATTGAATAAAGTCATTTGGAGCTCTATTAAGTGATTCTATTGCTAAATAATAACAAAGACCATATGTAGATTTTCGGGTAGATTTTTGAATAAGATTTTGTGCAAGATCCAACAATCCAAACCATAATGTATCTGGTAATGTGAGGATTTCATTTTTTGTAGGTTCATTTAAGAGACTATCACTATCTTCTAATTCTTTAGATAATTTAATTAATACTTCATCAAATTCAGTTTGAGAATCTAAAATATACTTATTGGTCCACTCTCTTTCCAAGTAGTTCCAAAGATATTCCATTAAAATCATTTCACCAAATTTTCTACTAATAATTTTTTCGCTACCTTCAGACCAATTAAAAAGATTATGTTGAATTGTTAACATGATTTTCCAATCAACGTAATAAGATGCTACTGAATATTTAAAACTTATACTTTGACATAATTGAGTAAGCATTAACAAAAAGTTATTATCATTCGATATAGTTACTTTTGATGGTATAATATTCAGAGTATTTCTTAACAAATCTTTGACTCTTCTTAAAAGTTCTTGAAATGCAATACTGTTATGATGTAAACTATGAAGTGTATCTCGCAAGTGAATCAATAAAAAATCAATATTATAATTACGCATAACTTGATTTTGAGTAACTTGTGTTATATTGTGATAAATTTCAGCAAATTTTGATAAAGAATCATATAATTCATCTCGTAAAACTTTTTTAAGAACTATTGGTGAAAAACATATTCGTTCTAAAACTATTATCCAAGTTCGTAGATGTAACTCTAATCTTGGTGCGCATTCTTTTGAATAATTATTAAATGAAATAGGATCAGATAATGCTTTAAGTGAATTTATTAAGGTTTGAGAAAAAAATGAGATCTGTAAATTTTCAAAAAGGGATTTTAGAGCATATAAATATTTTGTTTCAGTTAATGCCTTTATAAGTTTTTCTACTTTTTCATCTGGTGTAATAAATCCATCCTCTTCTAATTTGAGATTAATATCCATTGATGATTCTGTCGTCGCACTTGATGGAATGTCTTCAATTTCCTCTTCATAATCACTATTTAAGAATGAAATAACATTATCCAACTTTAAATCATAATTACTATCAATAGTTATCCCTCTGATTGATTTCGAACTTGATTGACTTTTTTCTGACGAACAGCATTCCTTCTCTTCTTCAATATCATCATCCGGTTCGGACGAGATCATCGCTTTAAGAATTAAAGCAACTCCTTGAGTATCTGGACGCTCATTCGGCTCATATTTCCAGCAATCTAAAAAAAAAAAATATTTTTTTTTAGCTATTTTTAATATTAATTTAATATATTAGATTTTTTGTTTATTACCTTTATATAATTTACTATATTCACTAGGCGTTCCATCAATAATATCTTCTCTTTTACCATCTAATATGGAAAACATTAAGCATGCATCATACTTTATACCTTTAGTAGAGAAAGGTTGATATCCACTCGAGATTTGCCACATTAAAACTCCAATGCTATATACATCAGATTTTTTATTTAACTTATAATTTTCATCTTTGAATTTTTTTGGGTCTATATAAGGTATTATACCAAGTATTTGTGACGTACTACTTGATGCTTCAGCAATTTTTTTTGATAAACCAAAATCCGCTAATTTGATATTTTTCTGATGTACGAGTATATTGTTTTCATGCTTTAATTACGAAAAAAAATGGAATATCAATCTTTATTATAGTAATTCATTAATAAAAAAAAAATGAATAAGAATAAATGTAATTACCAGATCACGATGAATAATATCATTATCATGTAAATATTCTATAGCACTTGCCAATTGCCATGCTAAACGAAATTTGTCATTCCAATCAAGTTCATTAAAATGGTTTTTTAAATAAGTATTTAATGTACCACCGTTAGCATATTCTAAGACTAAGGAATAATTTTTTATTTGATTGTTTATATCTGAAAATATATATATATAGAAAATTGTTTATGAATTATTATAGGGTAAGAGAGATATTCAAATATCATTTATAATTATTTAAATGCTTTCACCTTCTGTAACTTTTGTTATTCCATATAAACGTATGATATTATCATGGTCATCAACACACCTATGCAATTTTAACTTTTGAATAACATACAGTAATATGAGTATTATATATGCAATATAATTAATTATAAAGCATTGAACATTATATATATACATATATGTATATAATTTAATCAAAATATTTTTAAATAATAATAACAAAAAAGTTCTTTTCGTACCTCTTTGACAACTTCTTTAAGAGTAAGTTCATCATTATTAAAAAATTTTAAAGCGAAAATACGATCAGAATTTTTCCAATTAACACGATAAACTTTCCCGAATGAACCTTTTCCTATTCGTTGAATACTTTTGAATTCAGAATATTCATAAAATTTAATATATTCTTCGGTAATTAACTTATCCAACCAGTTTATATAATAATTTAAATCTTGTACTTTGGTTTTATCTGACATTTTCTATATTTAATTATTTTTTTTTAGGAAAAAGGAAAAAAAAACCAAAATTGAAACGTATTTTGAAGTTATTTTATATTTACAATGATTGCAAGTTCGTACGTGTGTTACAACGGAATGGATGGATAAACATCCGGCAGCCAAAATAGTTAAATTTTTTGGTAATACACTGAAACAGCCTATACAATATTTTCGTGCAGATCATAACATTTTTGTTAATTGATTGTAATTAATCCAATTAATTTATTTAAATTTTGCAAAGTCCAAATGATATTATTAATACTAGAGACATAGGAATTTATGACCGAAACTAGCACGTGACTTTTGGCCCGCATTACAGAGTTATGCACTAACACGTGAACATGTGATCATGCGATATTTTTGAGTAATATGATCTAGCAAATTTTTGTTACACAATAACGTCAATGGACGGCGTTAGTGCAATGCTGAAATTCCTTATATTTATTACAAGCACTAAAAATTTTTATTTTATTTTTTTTTTTAAAAAAATGACTTGTCGACTTTCATCTGATTGCTTAAATGAAATTCTTGAATATTTAGAGGAGGATAGAACCACTTTACATTCATGTTTGTTGGTTAATCGTTCTTGGTGTAGAATTTCTGTTAGAATTCTATGGAGAGAGTTTTGCGATTATCATGGAGTTATTTATGAACAACGACAAGCATCATCAATTCTTAGTACATTAATTGCTTGTCTTCCTAATGAATCAAAAGAACTCTTGAAAAAAAATAAAATATTCATTTCAACACCTACTTCAAATCCACCACTGTTTAATTATGCAGGATTTTGCAGAGATCTTTCAATTAGTAGGATTGAAATGTTAGTTTCTACTGTCTTTGAAGATAAACCATCTGATAATTCATTTTTACTTATAGTGAAAAATCTGTTTTTACCATTCAGAGAAAAAAGAAAAATAAAAAAAACTATTTTAGTTGTAAATGAAATTATCAAAATGTTAGCAAACCAAATTTTTTCTTTGAGAAAATTGGTTTTTAGATATCTTCATCATTATAATCTTGATAATTCTTTCCCTTATTTTCCTGATTATTTTCCTGGTGCAAGAAATCTTTCAGAATTACAATGCAGTACACATATTCCTTCTAATTTTTTTTATCAGCTGTCACAAATATGTCATAATTTACAATCAATTTTAATATATTTTTATTATGATGTTCCAGATGAGTTAAAAGAATTAATTTATTTACAGAATAATTTAAAAAATTTAACTTTAGTAATTTATAATTCAAATTGGACAAATATTATACCAGCTTTAATAAGTTGCTCTCATACAGTAACAAAATTTAAACTTTATGGTCTTATTAATAATATACCATTATCATTTATTAGTTCATTCACAAATTTACAAGAATCTATATTTTCATTCTTTGATGGAGTAGTAGTTATAGATTTTACAGATTTACTATATGCTAATTTTCCTAAATTACAAATTTTAAAATTTCCTGATTCAAGTCCAAAACCTGAACATGTAACGAAATTTTTAGAAAATAATGGAAAAAATCTTAAAAAATTTTATATCTCTGAAAATAATAGAATATTAAGTTTATCTGTTGCTAATTTTTGTCCAAACCTTAGAAGTCTTTTCATAATATTTAGTGAAATAGATATATTAAGAACTATACTTATTAGTTGTCTATACTTAGAAAGCATTACAATTTGGTGTGGTAAAAGTTATCATGAATATTTATCTGAAAAAGAAGTACTAGAAACTATTGCAAACCATTCACCTAATAATTTTTATGAATTAAAAATACGTGAATTTTTCGATTCAGATGTATTACCAGAAGATTTGGAATCATTTTTTATAAGTTGGAATAATAGAACACCAAAAAAATTACTTTCTTTAATTATTTTTGACGTTAATAATAACAATTATAACAGATCTTGTTTAGAAAATGAAGAAAATAGAAAGATAATGGAAAAATATGAAAATTTAGGTATTGTTAAATTTGGAACTAAAAGTTATTATGATGAATTTGTAGATCAAGGTTCATTTTTTTCATTATAATTGATTTTTTTTTTATGTATTTTATTCGTTTCTGTAATATTTTTTGGTGTAGTATCAGTAATATTTTTTATTAAAATTTTAAGATGTCACATATACCTTTTATTATTATCATTTGTTGTTTTACTTCTAAACTCAGAAAACTGAACCTTTATAAAATGGAATTACATACTATGCTATTAAGATTGTGTTAAATAACGTTAATTATTTTATCGTTTATAGATTGTTTTATTCAATGATAACGATAATTAATAAATGTATCATTTAATACTAAAGTTTACACAGAAGTCTATGCTAACATCTATACTACTCTGAGAAGCGTTCAAAAACTGATCATATCCAGTATCCCAAACTCGAAACCCAAAATCTATGAAAAAAAAAGAAGCGAAAATGTCAGAAAATGTTTCAAGTAAATAACATTTACAAAGCTTTGCAAAATTACGAAACTTACCAATATCCAATATCCCACAACCAAAAATTCCAAATCCTACAAAAAAAAATGAAAGAATTATTTCTTTTAATAAAAAAAGATAGACGAAGTTTCGTACCTTCAGAACTTAACGTTTTCAGATCTCCTGAACCCAAATTCTGATGCCTGCAATAAAATAAAAGAAAAAAACATTAAAAAAATAAATAAACTAATTTTATAATAAGTGTTGTGATACTTTATTATTTTGGCATTTTCAAAATTCTGAACCCGAAATCTACAAAAAAAAGAAAAAATAAAAATCAAGGACCAAAGTTAAATCTACTACAAAAAGAAACGTTATTAAGCATTTCTTTAAAAAAGAAAACAAAAACATTAAATTTCTTGATAAAATTTACCATTAACTCTCCAATCGATGCAATAATGAAAGTAATGAAAGAAACATTATTTAACGTTTCTATAAAGAATAGAATAAAAAATGGTAATTTTCACAACGAACCACTTTTACTCTTCAATTGATACTTCGGTACTATTTCATATGTGAATGCTTTCACAGGATCTAAAGTTAGTATAACATTTTTAAGAACAATTTTGGAAGAATTTTGAAACAATTTTGGAAATTTACTCAGGCTTTCATAATCGAAGCCGGCATTGGAATTTTATAAAAAATAAAAAAATTGTTTGCAAACGTTCCTTTAAAGTTATTGCCAAAGGGAATTTTAGTACGTTATTTAAAGCAAACTTCAAATAACCAAAAGAAAACAGACGTAACTATATCATCCGAAATGGCGTCAGAACGGAACGTTTAACTGAAGACCTACAATATAAAGAGAATAAGTAGTAAAATTTCTTTAAAGAAGTTTCAATATTACCTGGGTTTCGAAGCTTATAACAAGACTGGGAGTCTTACAAAAAGAAAAAAAGTAAAATAGATTTTAAATGATTATCGATTGATCAACATTATCTGATCGGTCTGTCAGTGACATATTAATTAAAAAAAAATCTCATTCTTCGATATATATTTCCTGTGAGTATTCTGCCAGCGTAATTATCGCAATCGGTTTCTCTACACTAAGTTCCTACTTGGTTATCATGATCACACTCCTCAACGAAGCCAATATCTTTTCTGAGGATATAGATAGTATAGAAATAACCAAAAAATAAAATAGTAAAATAAATTTCTTTTTTTTTTTGTTTTTCGTAATAAACGGCTAAAGATTATTTTCTTTATCTCTCTCTCCCAAGTTTAATTTATAACGAATAGAATTTTCAAAATGCGAAATAATTGATAATAAAAGTTATAGGCGAATTGATTATGACCAAGGTGTAGAAATTTTTTGGTATTTTGCCGAGATTTGCTGCATTTTTTTTCTCCAGGAAGCTATAAACCTTACATGTATTACAGAAGTTAAAGTATGAGGTGTTTGATAATAATAATCTACTACTCTATAGCCATTAAAAAAAAATGAACATTTCGTGACGTTAACAATATAACAAACATAAATGCAACACCGTACAATAAATAATGAATATTATTTAATAGAAATATTATTGAAATTTCTTAAATCTAAAAAATATAAGATGAATAAAATAAAATATATTTTTGCTTGAGCTCATAACAGAAACAACTTATAAAAAAAAACATCAATAATAAAAATAATAGTGTAATTCTTCATCCTTTATACACTCAATCCTAGATTTAATAATACCCAATTTTTCATATTTTTCAATTATTTTCAAATTTTGATCATAATAATTTAACTCATAACTATACTTATGTTTCAGATCATTAATAATATCCTCATCAATCTCATAATAATCAATCATATTGTCAAAAATATAATAATTTGAACTAATATAATACACCCCTTCATATATATTATACTTAATATACTTCTCATACTCTTCATACTCACTAATAATATTACTCTGTCTAATAAACATTAATTTAAGTAATTTTTCTGGTTTTTTATTCTTCCAGCTTATAAGAAATGATTCTAAATCTACTGGATATATCAAGTATAAATTTGAATTATATAATATTAATTCACAAAAATATTTTGATGCCCAAGTTTCAATAAATTCAAATATCGTCCCAGCTATACTTTTTTCCTCACACCAAATGCTAATGAATTCTAAATATTGACACTTAATAAATATAATTCTTAATACATATGATTCACCAGGATTAATTCTTACACTAAGTCTTTTAAGATTTGGACAAAAATTTGCAATAGATAAAATTAAATTTTTATTTAATAAGCCTTTCAAGCCTTTCAAGCCATTCATATTTAATCCAGTATTAAATTTCCCTTCATAGTATATCCCTTCACATATATAAATATTTGTAAGATTTTTTCCATTAGTTTCTAAAAATTTCATTAAATATTCAGGATTTGGACATAGATAAGGAATTTTTAAAGTTTGTAATTTAGGAAAATTAACATATTGTAACTTTTCAAAATCTTTAGTATTAGCATATGGTATAAGAATTGAGAATGAAAATATAAATTCTTGTAAATTTGTAAATAAACTTATGAATGAAAATGGTAAATTATCATTATTATCATCACTATAAAGAGATAATTTTATCAATGTATTAGAATGTTTAGCTAAAGAAGGTATAATATTTTCCCAACTAGTATCAGAACGAACTTTTAAAGTTAAACTTTTTAAATTATTCTGTAAAGAAATTAATTCTTTTAACTTATTTGAAACATCATTTTCAAATGATATAGAAATTGATTGTAAATTATGACATATCTGGGATAACTGATGAAAAAAATCAGAAGAAAGATTTGAATTGCAATGAAATTCTGAAAGATTTCTTGTTCCGGAAAAAGGGAAAGAAAAATTCCCATTAATTGGATAATAGTAATAAGGATCATGATAAGTCAATATTTTCAAAGAAGCTTGATTCATGAACATCTTGACAATTTCTTTCGTGACTAGATAATAACTATCACATAACCTACTACTACTATGCGGATTAAGAGATAGTGTATTTATAAGAGCTTCATTAACTATCCTGTCAATATCAGAAATCGAAAGGATTTTGCAAAATGCTGCATAATTAAACAAAGGTGACTTTGAAGTAGGTGTTGAAACAAAAATCTCATTTTTATTTAAGAATTCTTTTGATTCATTGGGAAGACAAGCAATTATTGTATTGAAAAATGATAATGATGAACCATTATTGCTTTTGTAGCTACTAATATCCCTCCACAAAATTCTAACAGAAATTTCACACAAGAGACGATTAACTAATAAACATGAATGTAAAGTAGTTTTATCTTTCTCCAGATATTCGATAATTTCATGTAAACAGTCGAAAGGAAGTGTTGTAAGTTGACAAGTCATTTTATTTTATAAAAAATATATATCGGTAGAGCAAATGGGAATATTATTGATTTTAAATTGAAAACCACATTGGCTCATTGTGCGAATAAATATATCATTTATGATGTAATTTGGCCCAAAATAACCTGATTTCTAACGCCGCATTGTGTAACATTCGAGCTTTTTTCAGATGTTGATCAATTTTGACATATGATTCGTAAAACTGAAAAATTATGATCGATTCTGTGCGACCTAGGTCGGTATGTGAAATTGATGCGACATCCAAAAAATGGTAGCCGGAATTAGGGTTAGGATTAGAGTTAGGTTTAGGGTAAGGGAATTTGGTTAGGAATTTGTCACGTAGCGTCGTCACATCCTAGCTGTTCTTCAATTTTATAATTATTCTGTGGACCTAGAATTTTTTTATATGGTAAAACTCTAATTGCCGCCCATTAATTGTCACATCCATAATATTATAAATATTATATGTAACCCGGCAAAATAAATCCGGCTACCATTTTTTGAAGGCGGCGCTAGGGGTTACAAGATTATAATCACATGTGAGTTGGTGTTACATTAAAGTATATTTAAAAACCATAAAATGACATCACATCACATCAACTCACAACTTTCTTAAACTACAAGAATAAATCGTAAATATGTCTGAGTCTCTTTCCCGTTCTCTTTTTCCTCAATTTACGGAAGAAGTACTAGAAGGGGCAAGGAAAATATCTTTGAAATGTCCCGTGAATTAAATACAATAAGTGGGTTGAGGTCGGAAGACCATATGAAGAACACGAAGAAGTGCTAATGAATCTGAAATTCGAAAATGGATCATCTCAAACAAGATCAGTTGGTAAGTCCACTACTTCATTTTCATGTATATGATTGGTTATGTAGTAAAACTTATAAAATTCTTTTTTAAGAAACCAGACAACATGTTAACAGAAGACAAACTCGGAAATGGAATTAGCACTCGCAGAAATTCCGGGGGCAAATCGACAAACCGGGAAAACAAGCAATGGAACTCTTTCCACAATAAGAACCCAAACCACCGCCTGTAAGGAAGGTAAATATTGCAGCCAAGATTCTGGACCAGAGAAATTAACAAAGTACACGAATCAGATGCATCGAGATCTACAAAAAGACAATATTCTTAATGATGTAATTTGCCATAATACTGTATTATTGGGGTAGTTAGGGAATTTTAAATTTAATAAAAAAAGTGGTACCACATATATATATATATAAATCATTACTTAATGTTAAGACACAGGGGTCAGGTGCTTGGCATATTTCTCTTATCCATGGTTCCTATACACAATTTCTTAACATATTCTTTACTAATAAGATCTCTAGCAATAAGCCTTAAAGAATTATAATATTTTTTTTTAATACCGTAGTATGAATCGCAATATGTAATTTTTTTTATACAAATAATAAACCAAAGACGCGTTTTTACATGGCTATATATTTTGTCGTATGATGTAGCGAGTGTGGGTTTGTGGGCATTATTTTTCGTTGCAGCCAATATAGAACACGAAATATACAATGTAATTCTTCAGAAATATCTTGTCAAGATGATTGGTGATCTTTGAATGGTGTTAGACTTTATTAATTGATCGATTTCCGCGACGAAAAATCATTTTTTTACGTAATGATCTATTCCAATTTGTGCTTACCACAAAAAATATACAATAAAAGGTTGAAACACTAGTTAATGATCCATTTATCCGATTTGTGCATAATTTAGCGAAACAAATAAATCTTAGCAATCCTATGAAAATTTCGGACATATTATTCTTGTTAAATATGATCATCCGAGAGAAAATTGTGATCTCCAGCATATATTTTGTTTAATTATTTTTTATTTCCACAAATTCAATGTATCGCAAGAATTTCGTTTTTTCTTATTTACTTTGCGAACGTAATAAAATCCAACTAACGTGATAAACACCTAATTATCATCATTGTCAAATATATAGTAGAATTTCCTGATTCTAAGAATACATAGAGTTCTATGAATTCTAAGATTTTTTTCTCATGTATATATAGATTATATATCTATAGAAAAATGAGTAACTCGTTATTTCCATCTTTTAACACATACTACACAACACAACTTAACCAACTTTCACGTTCTATTAAAATGATATATGACGAAGTCTCAAAACTCGGAAATATCCACTAACAATAGAAGAGGTGAGTGGTATTCATCCTGAATTGGAAGAACTATTGAATCAGAGGTAGTCAATTACACAAAGAAAAAGGATCATCAACGACCGAGAACAACGCCAGGTGGTATTGATGTTACTAACAGGTTAGTTTTATTCGAACAGACTCTTTCTGAACGAGAAAGGAAATAACTGACCGTGAAAAACCGTCATACCAATGTGAAGAAGAATATGCGAAGAAATTGGAACGGGCAAAATTAGAAAATCAGAAAATAATAACCAATCAAATCAAAATGGAAAACGATGCTTATCTTAGTGCTGAATCCTAACGTTTGCAAGATGAACAAGAGAGATTTGCGGATGGTTTACGTTCATTAAAGAAGAATCTGAGGGAGCAATATAATATCAAAATGTAACGTGAAACTGTCATGAATAAACCATAGAAGAGAAAGACAAAAAAATCGCTCAATTATTATCTGTGTTTAGTCATAATATATTTGTTTTCGATGATATAAAGTATAAATGTTTGTCTAATTTTATTGCAACGAACTCTTGATAGTATTAAATAATACATCATAAAAGGCGAAAAATATTCGCTGCAGATTTAATAGCTGTGCAATACATTAAAAATGCGTTAAATTTATTACCAAATTAATTTTTAAAACAAGAAAGTTGTGAGAAATTAACTGAACTACACAACCGTGATATGATACAACCCGCTCTTTAAAAATATGATCGATTTCATTTGAATTTCTTCCTGAACTTCTAATTTTTTGCTATATATAAGAAATGGCAACTCCGATAATATATGAATATATTCAGTGGTTTTTCTTACTTAGTTAAATGAGTTAAATTACGAAAAAAAATCAAATGGGAATGGATCTGGAACTTGTACCTTCAAATTTTCTATTGGTTTAAGGATATTACTTGCGCTCTCTCTTTTCATCAATCAACTTACATAAAACCAGAAATAAATATTTGATATAAATCTGGATTCTGTCGTCTTGTATATTATTTATCACACAAATTCCGTAGCTTTATGGTAAATTTTAAAAAATGTCGTGTTCATGGCCGTGCGGAAGGTCTTTTTTTGATAACATTCATACAGCATTCTCTAGTTTAACAGATTTTTCTGGTTACAACGAATGCATTTTTCGGTAGGTGTATTTCAATTCGTTTATTAGTTCTAAGGATAAAATCTATATGTACTTACAAAATCTGAAAATTTATGGAAGTACAAATCATATTACTCATCTGGCGCTCGCTCGTTCACTTGACGATTGCGGACTGTCTTTTTTTACTTGATTATAAATGGTGATTCTGATATTAAACAACGAGGAACTGATTAGGAAACAATTTAATATTTGCGAAAAAATTTTTTCTCTGAGAAAGAAAATATTTAATCGACAGATATGAAATTTTTTTTTTTTCTTTTTCGGTTAGTTTTTTTCCAAACTGAAAATTTTTTTTCCCTCTTCTTTTTTCAGGTTGGTTTTTTTTAAACCGAATGAATTTTTTGTTTTTTTTTTCTTTTTTCACCATTTAGATAGGTTCTTTTTTACTTTTTTTTGCTGATTTTTTTTCCGCTTAATAATTTAATATAATAATACTTATTTTTATTAATGTTAATAAAAAAAATCTATATAATATTGCTGCCATACTTCTTTAATATAAAAATAGAAATACAAATTTTTCTAATAATATTGTTAATACTAAATCCACATGACACTACTTCATAATATCAAAATTATCATATCAAGAATTTATTAATATAGAATGTAAATATAATTTGTATTTAATAATATAATAAATTATATCATTTCAATATTGTGAAATATTAACAAATTATAAATAATGTAATATCGAATAAATATATATCTGAAATTTTTTTTTATGTTGATTTAACTCATTAATCCTATTAATCCTATTTGCAACGCAACAGGTTATAGTTAGTTATTCCGGCGACCTTATAGTGAAACTTACAATGCGAAGGAACAAAAACCATGGAAGACGCATATCTCTAATTTCTTTATTCTAATTAAATAGATAAAATTATTATAAAAGTAAATCAATGATAATTATTACGTACTTTACTAAATTAATCATTATTTTATATTTCATATTCATCTCAAGTATATCTAATAACAAATTGTAGAAATTATTTATTCAAAAGATGATAACAATTTGTACTTACAATCTTACAACATAGATCACAGATTTATTTTACTGATCGTCTGATCGATAAATTTATACGGTAAGATTTGATATCTTTAAAAACTGCATTTTTTTTCTATGGTAGTTTAACAAGTTAGTACATATGATTATAAATATAAAGGACAAAAATGTAATGAGTTGGGACAATTTTATTTGAAATAAAATTTTATTAAGAAATTATTTACTATTATTAAATAATTGAAGAATAAAGTTGTTAATATTTTAGTGAAAAAAAACCCCGTTAAAACTTCTCTAAACCAAATTACTGTTAAACTTTCTTATTCCTAAAGGCTAAAGCAATAATAGCCCTGTTCATTTCCGGTCGGTCGCATTTTTCGGTCAGATTTAAGTTAATTTTGATTGGGCTGATCAGTTTGTACAACGCAACCATTTTCTGTTTGGGTTTTTTGGTCGAACATCAAAAATAACCAACCAAAATTAGATGACATTTAAGAAAAAAATATATATCAATAAGAGGAGTTCGAACTAAATTTCAATCTAAAGCAGTTCAATTTGCGATCGAAAATAAAAAAATTTTATTGGATAATTTTTGTACACAACAAAATCCGACCGAAAAATGCAACCGACCGGAAATGAACAGGTCTAATGTATCAATTAAGAATAGTTTTATAATTGCAAATAAGCTGTTAAAGATGACAAACATAAAATAGTTGTATTACCAAATCCTGAAATAATATTCTGACTTTTAAACTTGTAAAATTTGCAGATTTGATCAATATACTAAAAGGTCTACTTTTATATATAGCAACTGACCGGATAATTTGTTATTATAAATCCAATATCATATAATTTGCTACCAAAAGGAATAAATATATGATATCATAACATTTGGCAACATTGTTGCATTAATCAATAAAACATTCAGGTGCATTTGCCTTCAATAATAAGATCTCGTCTTCACTCGTCATTAATTTTCTCATGTTTCCTGATTTGCAATAATTACTAATTATCATAAAATTTTGTGTTGAAATTTTGAGTAGCTCAAAAGTATCGATTAGTGTAATTGTAGAATAATTGTGTTTAAAGATAAAATTATTATTATTAAATACAAAGGTTCTTTTGTTCTTAACTTTATTATATAACATTAATATACATAAACCATACCTTTTAGATTCAATGTTTTTTAGAATCATTAAGTTCCTTAATTTTCCCTATAGAAAATTTTTATCCGAATATTTCTATTATTTCTCCGTGTCTTCCGTAAGAATTCCGTGAAAATGATACATTCACGGATATCCGTGTTAGCGAGATAAAAATTTCCATGATTTAAGGCTATAAATTACATGAAAATAATACATTCACGGAAAAAACATGGAAAGATGAAACGCGGATCAGATTTTTTACATGGTTTCTGTGGAATATCATGATTTTTACGCCCATTCCGTGAAAATAAATAACTATTACATTTATCAGAATAAATAAAACCACATTAATCATTTTTTTTTCACATAATTTTTTTACCGATAAATTAGTTTTTATTTCTCTTTTAACTATTTTTTCAAAGTATACTAATATTAATTCCTTGATTTTTCAAAATGTCTTAATTTTTCTGATAAATATAAAAGTATTATATTAAATAATATATTCTTTGAATTATCGGTCGTAGTAGTTTTTGAATTAACGATCTTAAAATATTTGATATTAACTAAAATCATGAAAAGAGAGATTTAATCATGCAGTGACTTCCATAATTATTGTACCACTTCGTAAAATTTTACACTGCCCAGAATTATAAATTATGGCCATTTTGGTCGGCATTAAGTGCAAATCGTTGTATCTCATAACCAAATAACTTATAAATAAAATATTTAAATAGTTTATTGTTTGCAAATTTTATTAATGCTTTATTTTTAGTTTTTCGAAAAAAAAACGTTAAGCAATTTTTGTGGTACAATAATTTTGGCACATATATAAAAAATTCAATTACATTGATTTTGTACGTTGGGTGACTTTGATGCTAAAAAAATGATATACAGTAACGTTTTTATCGTAAAATTTTCTCATTTTCTTTCTCCTTCTCATTTACTCTCTTCTAAATTCTAATATTTTCAGCTTGATTAGAAACTGGTGACAATTTCTATATTATTAGAAGTAGCAGTTATACATGATCATGGATACGTACATCGCGATTTTCATAGCGGAAACGTTTTATATGAATTTTTCAGAATCTTTTGAAGAAAAAATCAAATTATAGTGTTATACAAAATATGATATATTATTATTACGTAATGAATTTTTCGATATCAAAGGAACTTCAAAATCTTATTTGGATTTAATGATAAAATGTTGGGATAATTCGCCTTTAAATAGATCAAATATTAATGAAATTATTGATATTATTGAAAATTGAAACATTCTATGGAATTTAAATCCTGAAATTATCGAAATAGCTAAAATTGAAAGAAAAGTTTGGTTAAAAGTAATGATTGGTTTTTTTTAATAATTGTAAAAATGTCAAAGGATAGCAGATTTATTTATTTATTTATTTCTAGTAAAGATTAAAATATACATTTTATAATTTGTTAAATAAAATTTATTATATCAAATAAATTAATATACAATACATTTTATTTCAGTGATGTTTGTCGTTAATAGCAAAACATTGGCTGTCTAATATAATTTGTTATATTCTAGTTAAAAATTTGAATAAATGTTTTATATAATATTTTATCACTTACTATAAATACTAAACATTTTATGAAGTATTCTACACCATACAAATTTGTTTGTGCATCTTCCCAGGAGTAGATAGTAAATTTCCAACAGGTATGTATCAATTTTAATTTTCAATAAAAAATTCTTGAAACGAACGATTCTCTAACGAACGATTCTCTAGTATGTTGAATAAAGCAAAAATGATAATATTAAGAAAAGTATATAATTATAAGCTGTTAAGGATATCTTTTAAATCAAGTAAATTTTCCATTTCTTTTCTTGAAAAATACTTGTCTTTGAAAGTTTCTGGAACATTTGAGAAAAATTCGTGATAATCTGGTAATAAATAACCTATAAAACTCGTGTCGGGAATGTAAGTTATTTCGCATGGATTATATCCAAATCGAATATATTCTATTTGCTATGTGAATCAAAAAATAATATTATATTTTGTTCAAAAAAAGGAAATTGATCTGAATAAGTAAATAGGAACATACCATTTCAATAGAATTTATTTCAATTTCAATTGAAAGTTGAGTATCATAATATAGGCCACGTATTGAAGTCCGATATTCTATCCAACCTAACCCCTCAAGTTTTGATACACCTTCATGTTTTAACATATAATCTTTTTGATAATTCTATAATTAAGTTAATATTAATTTAAAATTAAATAAAATAATAGAGATTTTAATTAATTAACTTACGCCATTGGGTATAAATTTTATAAAGCAATCCTTAGATAATATTTTTTTAACATTCATTTTACAAATGAGATGGTCATAATTATTTTTTAGTGTAGGCAAAACCAAATGAAGATTTTCATTTTTAGAAGACAATACCAGCCCTGATAAACTTTAATTTTAAAATTATGATTAATTTGTATTTAAGACAATTTGACTTAAAGTATTATTATGAGTAGACTCTACTACCTGCTTATATCACTTTCTTGAAATTGACAAAGTTCACTATTCAAATTTGTAAGATTTGAAACAAAATATACTCCATGTTCTAATGAGTTTAAGATATCAATTATGATTATCTTAAATAGAAGATAATAAATAATTTGAATATTTTCTTACCTTTATACATATATTTACTAAATTTATCGACAATTCCAAATTCGGTAAAATCATTTTTGTTAATTTCACAAACTTCATATAAATATGACCAAAAATCCGGATGATCTTGTATAAAATAACCAATAAATGCAGATACAATATAACATAAATGAAATTTTGCTTTACTATACTCTTTTAATTCAATATAAATTTTGCATTTAATAAAACGTAGTAAATTACTAATAGGAATTTGATCGATTTTTGTTAATATATTGTTTAATTCTTTAGAACTATTATTATTTAGCAAGTATTCTAGATAAAATAAATGAACCTTTGCAGAATCATTGTCAGAATTCAATAATTTTGCACACTTTTTAAATGATACTTTAGCATTGTTATTATCATTCTTTGTATAATACGTTAAACTTTTAAGATAATATGCTGAACTATTTAAGGGATCTAATTGTATAATTTTATCAAGATCTGATAATACTTTATCATATTTCTTAATAATATAGTATGTAATAGCTCTTCTATTCAAATTATGAATGTTTTCTGGATCTAAAGTATAAGCTTTTGTAAAGTATGATATAGCTTTCCTATATTGTAACAATTTATATAAAATTTCTCCATAATAACATAAAACCAAAGAATCCTCATTATTGATATTTAATAATTTATCCAATAAATTTAATGTACTTAAAAATTGTGCATACGCTTATGAAATGAAAAGAGATTATTTAAGACATAAATAATTATTTGGATCATTTTTTAATGCAATATTATAATTTTCTATAGCTTTTGTATAATTATAATAATTATTATAATTACGTAATAAGTAACTATTTCCGAGTAATATATGTAAGTTAATTATTTTTGATTTATATCCTAATGATTTTTCTATATTATATATTGCTTCACCATATATATTTTGTCTAAAAAATATTTCTCCACAAATAAAATAAGCAATTGATCTTTTGGGATTTAAATCAATAGCTTCTTTTAAAAATAGGTGTGTTTGTTCGTAATTGGTAAGACATCTATAAATATACGCTAAAATACATCTTAAAGAATAACTTTTAGGAAAAAAATTTATAAATTCTTTGCATAAAGATTCAGCTTTTTCATAATTTTTTTCATTTATTTCTTTTATAATATTTTGATATGTTGGATGTTGTTTTTTTATAATTCTTGAAAGTATTGGAGATGATATTTTTGAATTTAATTTAATAATTGAATTCATAAATTTCTTTTTTTTAGTTAATATGAGTTCAACTTCTGAATTATCTGAATCATCACTGTCATATAATTGATCGGAATTTTCTAATTCAATTGAAGGTAAAATATGTCCAGATTCAAAAAATTTTGTATATAAGTTTTTATAAATTGAATTTTGTGGTAAATATCTTATATCATTATCTTCAATTTTTTCTCGACAATTGGGACATATTTTTTGCTTTAAATTTTCTAAATTGCTTAATGCTAACATATGTTGGCATTTTAAAATACATAATTGATCCGTTGGTTCACTATTAATTGGACAAGTAATTTCATCTGCTATAACATCTAAAATGTTAGAATTTGATATTTGTTCTTTCTTTAAATATGAATTTTGATTTGATTTTTTTCCTTTCCCCTCTTTTCCTTTTCCAGTATTATTACTTAGAATTTTTAAATCTTCATGATATTTCTCTTTAACAAAAGTTAATAAATTTCGAAATTTTTCTAAAGAATCTTCCAAATTATTTTCACTTAATTTTTGTGTGTATTGATCAAAATCAATTTCAATCATTGAAAACATTTTATTATCAATATTATATAAATGTAATAATAATTCAATAGATTTAAACTGAATAAAACTGCTTGGTGCTTTATTAAGTGATTCAATTGCTAAATAATAACAAAGACCATATGTTGCTATTCGAGATGATCTTTGGATAAGATTTTGTGCAAGATCTAATATTCCAAACCATAGAGTATGTGGTAATGCTATAGGTTCATTTCCAGCAAGTTCGTTTAAAAAACCTCCAGCATTTTTCAAAGCTTTAGCGACTTTATTTGATACTTCATCAAATTTTGTTTGAGAATCTAAAATAGACTTGTCCACAGCATTAACCCATTCTCTTTCCAAAAAACTCCAAATATATTCCATTAATACTAATTCTCCAAATTTTTTACTTATAATCTTTTCACTTTCAGACCAAATAAAAAGATTATGTTGAATTATTAACATAATTCTCCAATCTACATAATAAGATGCTACCGGATATTTAAAACTTAAACTCTGACGTATTTGAGTAAGCAGTGATAAGATTGAACAATTATCATTTGGAAGAGTAACTCCTGCTATTGATAAAATTCCTGGTGTAATATTTAATGCAGCTTTAAGAAAATCTTTAGTTCTTCGTATAATTTCTTGCATCATCACGTAAACTATGAAGAGTATCTCGTAAATGGATTAATAAAAAATCAATATTATAATTACGCTTTTTAATTGCAATTTGATCATTATTTTGTTGATTGAATTGATTAAAATTTGTTCTAAAATTATTATCAAGTCCTATTTCGATAACCTGAGTTGTTTTACGATGAATTTCTGCAAATTTTGCCAAAGAATTATAAACTTTATCTCGAAGTTCTTTACTAAGTACTATTGGTGAAAAACATATCCGTTCTAAAACAGTAACCAAAATTCTTAAATGTAATTCCAATCTAGCTACACTTTCTTTTGAATAATGTTTAAAAGAAGTATCAACTAAACCTTCTAATGAATTTTCTAAAACTTGAGACGAAAACTCATTTTGTAAATTTTCAAAAAGTAATTTAAGTGCATACAAATAACTTGATTTAGTTAGATTTTTTAAAAGTTCTTCTACTTTGTCATCTGGAGTAATGAATCCATCCTCTTCTAATTTGAGAAGGATACGATTGTTGAACATAGTATTTTCATACAAAATCGTTTTATATGAAACAGGGTCATTATTTTCTAAGCTACCAGAAGCAGTATTGGTAGAAGAATTTCCACTCTGTTATTATATAAAATTAGTTTTATTGATATGCAATTAATTAAAGTTTAATATTGTTTAAAATAATAATTTACCTGACTTGAACTTCCTTTCATATTTTTTATTACAAAAAGAAGTAAGAAAAAATTTTATTATATCGACAGAATTAAGTAAAATTATAATCAAAATGTATGTAACATAATAACTGTGTATTTGAACTCATTGTCTCATTCAGTATTTATTTAATGTAACGACTGTAACGTGTCGCAAATATTTGTAAAAATTTGGACGTAAATTCTAAGCGCTGATCAGCGTGATTTAATTGGTTATTCTTTTTCTTTTTTTTTCAGTACTAGAGAAAAAAAAAAAATTTTTTTCCCGCAGACATACAATTTGTAAATACCAAAAATGTAAATCCTATAATTTATATTAACTTTTCTATTTATGCTAACTAGGATATTGTAAACTTTATTTACCGCCCCTCTAATTTTTCTAAGAAGTATTGATAAAAGAATTTTCACTCTATATTATATAAAATAAGTTTTCACGATTTGCAATTAATTAAATTCTAATATTGCTTAAAATATTAATTTACCTAACTTGAACTTCCTTTCATATTTTTTTTATTACAAGGAAATAATAATTCTATACCGATAGAATTAAGTAAAATTACAATCAAAATTCGTGTATCACGATAACGTGCATTACTGCATTTTTGTACTTCCAACACTTCATTCAAAAAATTCGATTCAAATTATTCTCGAGTAATCATTTAATATTATTTTTCATTTAAACAACTTGATGGGGCGTTCTAAACTGTTATATGCAAGGCAATAACTTGAAATTAGAAACAGGAGTTGTAACTGAACATTTATTGTTATAAACTTATATCCATATAACTAAAAAAATACAATGTGTAGCCGTAATGTTTAGATTAGCCTGTATAAATTGATTTTGAATTGCTGATCCGTATTCTTTATAATGAAATTTTAATCAGAAATTTCTTTTTTTTGCATTATTAGACTACCGATTTATTTTTTTTTTTTTCAAATATTTATTTTTTTCATTTTTTTTAAACCTATTTTTTTCCTTTTCTTTCGAACCGATTTGAATTCTTTCAGTTCCCTTTTTTTTTAATTTTCTTTTTTTTTCTTAAATCGATCTTTTACTTTCGTTTTTTCTTTTTTTTAAATTTTCTCTTTTCTCTTTCGAACCACCTTTTTTTTTTTCTTTTCCAAAAATTTCGTTTTTTTTTCCTCTTTCTTTTTCGGTTTGGTTTTTTTTTCGAACCCGAGAATTTTTTTTGGTTTTTTTTCCCAATCTAAATTTTTTTTTATTAAATAATCCTATTGTTTTGGTCTTTTAAGACCGATTTTTATATTATTATTTTTTTCGGTCTTCTTTTTTGGACCATATTATTAATTTTTTTTTATTCAGTCTTTTTGGACCGGATTATTGTCCTTTTTTTTCGGAATTTTTTTCGGTACTTATTTTTTTTACGGTTTCGAAAATTTCCCTTTTTTAAACCGATTTCTTTCTTTATCCTTTTATCCTTTTTCAATTTTATTTTTCGTTTTTTTTTTCAAATTTTCTTTATTGTTATTTTTTTTCGGTTTTTTCGAATTCTTTTTCGTTTTTCTTTTTTCGGGTTGGCTTTTGACTTTTTTCTCAATCTGAAAAAATTTTTTCACCCTAAGTTTTTTCAGTGAAAGTTCGGTATATAAAGAAAATCACGTGATTAATATCCCAATTTCGACCAGAATTAAAGATGTCTTAATTTAGGCAAAATTTAAGTGGTTCTAATTCTGGCCGAAATTAATTAATTTCAGGCGAAATTGGAAAATCATGTGACTGAGTTCGGTATATCAAAAATTTTTTTACTATGTTTTATAATACGCGGTGAATCAATAAAAGTTCGGTATACGTTATACAAAGTTTATATGATGTTCGATATATCAAGATGTTTTTAAATACTATGAAACTGGTTTTTAAAAAAAAGTTCGGTAAGTCGAGAGTTCGTTACATCGTGGGTTCGTTACATCGAGATCAGACTGTATGTTTATATTTCACGTTTTCCACACGTGTCAGTCGTGTCACGCTTATCATGCAATTCAACTATATTTAATTACGTGCGTTAAAATGATTATTATATATTTAACAAGTATAACAAATCTGATTATTTTCGTCTGAAGGTATTTCTATGATAACTTTAAATTTAGAAAAATTTTATAGCATCAATAAATATCCGTATAAATACCTTTTCTTTTATTAAGTTATTTATTAAACCGGATAGATTTCCTTTGTAGTTGCTGGAGAAAAAAAAACTTTCTCTTGTTAATTTTTTCTCAAGTTTCAACAATCAACTAAAATGAGTTTTGATGTATCGTTCTTAATGTTAACGTCGTCTTATTTTGTAGGAGTTTGACATCACGAGCCTGAAGTTAAAATTTTGGAGATTAATATTTGAACTTTTCTATAAGCTAGACTAAAAAAACCGGATCGATCATCGATTATCAAATATAATAGAGGAATATTATAACATATAACAAGATACATTTATTCTATGAATGTTTATTATAGATAAAACTTGGTGATATATCAAAAGATCTAATAAAAATTCTACATTAAACACCATAAAAATATTATTTAATAGGAACATTACTGAAATTTCTTAAAAATTCTCTTTATTTGTAATAATAATGAATATTATTGACAAATTCTAATCCTAATACTTCTAAATAATAATAACAAAATATATTCTAACAGATAAAATACATCAATAAAAGTAATATTCTGACTCTTCTTCTTCCTTTATATTCTCAATCCTAAATTTAATAATATCTAACTTTTTATATTCTTCAATTATTTTCAAATTTTGATCACGATTACTTAACTCATCATGACTATCCTCATTATTCTCATCATTAATAATATTCCCCTTATACTCCTCATACTCATCAATAGTAGTATTCCTAATAATAACTAATGTAAGTAATTTTTTTGGTTTTCTATTCTTCCAACTTATAAGAAATAATTCTAAATCTTTTGAATTTATCAAGTATAAATTTGAATTGTACAATACTAATTCACAAAAATATTTTGACGAATAAGTTGCAACAATATCAAATAATATTCCAGTCATATCTTTTTTCCCACACCAAACGCTAATGAATTCTAAGTATTGACAATTATTAAATATAGTCTCTAATGTATTATATGATTCACCTGAATTAATTCTTACACTAAGTCTTTCAAGATTTGGACAAAAATTTGCAATAGATAAAATTAAATTTTTATTCAAGCCTTTCGGATTAAATACAGTATTAAATATCCCTTCACATATTCCTTCACATATATAAACCCTTCTAAGATTTTTTCCATTAATTTCTAAAAATTTCATCAAATATTCAGGCTTTGGACATTGATAAGGAATTTTTAAAGTTTGTAATTTAGGAAAATTAATATGTTGTAACTTTTCGAAATCTTTAATATTAATATATGATACAAAATAAGATAAGAATGAAAATTTAAATTCTTGTAAATTTGTGAATAAACTTATAAATGATAATGGTAAATTATCATTATTTTCACTATGAAGATGTAATTTTGTTAACTTATTAGAGTTTTTAGTTAAAGAAGGTATAATTTTTTTCCAACTAGTACCAGAACGAACTCTTAAAGTTAAACTTTTTAAATTATTCTGTAAAGAAATTAATTCTTTTAACTTATTTGAAATATCATTTTCAAATGATATAGAAATTGATTGTAAATTATGACATATCTGGGATAACTGATGAAAAAAATCAGAAGAAAGATTTGAATTACATTGAAATTCTGAAAGATTTCTTATTCCAGGTAAACAGGAGAAAGAATAATTATTCTTTAATGGACAATAACAATAAGTCAATATTTTTAAAGAAGCTTGATTCATAAACATCTTGATAACTTCATTTGTAATTAGATATTTTTTATCTTCTATATTAATTTGATTAATAGTTAATTCATTTCCAAGACTATAATTAATTATTTTACTTATATCAGTAATTGAAAGTTTCTTACAAAATTTTGCATAATTAAATAATGGTGATTGTAAAGTTGGTTTTGAAATGAAAATTTCATTATTAAATATGAGTTCTTTTGATTCATTAGGAAGACATGCAATTATTGTATTGAAAAATGATAATGATGAGGTTTTGTAACTACTAATATCCTTAATATCTCTCCACAAAATTTTAACAGAAATTTCACACAAGAGACGATTAACTAACAAACATGAATGTAAAGTAATTCTATCTTTCTCAAAATATTCAATAATTTCATGTAAACAATCAAATGGAAGAGTTGTAAGTTTACAAGTCATTTTTATTTTTATGTTAATAAAAAAGATTCCAAAATGTGGGATAACCATTTATATGTAATTTGGCGTAAAACAACCCCTGCATTGTGTAACTGTGTAACTTTCACAAGTTTTTTGCAGATGTTGATCAATTTGACTTATGATTCGTAATTCCGGTCAAATTTATCTCTAACCGGTTTTAAGCAGTCCAAATTAAAAAATGATATACATACCGTATATCGAGTAAACTTTAAATTTAAACCAAATTAGTATAAGGTATATTTCATAAATATTGAAATATATGGTTGGACAGTATCTGATTGTAGTTGGTAGTGATTCTATAATCTATTATTATTCCCTTTATGGAAAATAACGCCCAGAATATAATTGTTAGTTGTACAGCATACCATATTTATTTACAACATGACATCTATCTAATTTATTATTTATGGTTACCATTTTGTTTTCACAAAGAAGTTCAAACAAAATAAAATCATACTGCGTTAAATGCAATGACTACGGTAAAAATTTCTATTTCTGTATAGTTTTAACTACAATAAGAATGTGGTGTAATAATAAGTGCTATATAGCAAAATAAAAATGTGGCGGGCGGACTGGGTACTTTTTTGTTAGGGTATGGTACGAAATCCCGAAACTCAAAATCCAATAGGCCAAAGTCCCGAAACTCAAAATCCAACAGGCTAAAATCCCGAAACTCAAAATCCAACAGGCTAAAATCCCGAAACTCAAAAATCCAAAAATCCAAAAATCCTGACAGGTACAAAATCCCGACTGGTCAAAATCCCGAAAATATATTTTATTTAATCCTAACCAACCCTAACCTAAGTCTAAGCTCTCCTTCCAATGCAATAAATCTTAACAAACTAACTCTAACCTAACCCTAAGTTCCCTCTCCCAACGCGATAAATCCTAACAAACTAACCCTAACATAACCCTAATAATAAAAAATGGAACACTTGAGTATAAATAATTAATATAATATACCACCTGTCCGAATCTCAAAACTCGAAAAAATTCCAAAACTTAATTCCTGGCAGTATATATATATATATTTACATATATAAACATTAAAGCTTAATGCGGGCCAATTTTTCTGGATTTTGGACCTGTCGGATTTTGAACTGTTGGGATTTTGGATTTCGGGATTTTGAGTTTCTGGATTTTGGACAGCACCCTTTTGTTATATGCTCTGTAGGAAATCTTTGCAAACCCTGACAATTACACGAGATTGTCAACTTTATTTTAATAAGTAGCGATGCAAAAAGATTTTCCTATAATTCATACCTGAAAGTACCTAATAATGAACTACTAACAGATAAACAGGTAACGTTAGTTCCAACAAAAATTATTATCATAATTAGTAGTCAAGCAATATTTTTTCTCCAGCATATAGTACATCGTTTAGTAGATATGAAATTTACTCTCTAAACCATATAATAAATTCCATGCGCTGTTGGTATTCTTCAAGTATGTGGTTAACGTATTTCCTCTCATTGTATAATCTGTATATCGTTCTACTTAATAAAAAAAACTAAAAATATTCCGCTTGTTATTTAACTACACTAGTGATCCAAATGAACGAATAAAAGATTCAAACACGTGTCATAATGATAATGCGATAATATTTTTTGTAATCGATGGGACTAAAACTGTTATAGTGAAAGTACGACGATGAATATGTCAATTTATTTTTTATGCATCCATACTATTATTAATTTTTTCACTCAAAATACTTTCGAATTAATAAATTATAAATATTTTATTATATTTAGTTAATTGACTGGCGACATCGGATAATTGAAATTAATTATACATATGATTATACGAGAATAATAGAAATATTTCGAAAGTGGTGTATTTGAATTAGTATTGAATGTGTTATCTGATCACGAAAATAATTCCATCGTAATTATTATGTAATAATTATTTTTATGATTAATCTGTAGAGTAGCTGAATACTATAATCACATATGCGATCACAGTTGAAGAGATGGGATCTTGGTTATTCTCGTAATACAAAAAAAATGGCTAACGGGTAAACAGATTGGAACACTATAATATGTTAAGCACATACCGTAGGTTGATCTTTATCAGTCCAGGTTTGATGGTTTTGTTCAGCTCGGCTTGCCATAATTTACATCCCGACTATTATCGACTTCATCAGCTTTGTATTTATGCCAATGAGAAAAAACAGAGATTGAACTAATCGTTACATTAGCTGTCATCTAATTTATTTTTTTATTTTTTTAATTTTTTAAAAAAAAGGATTAATAAGGTATTATTTTTTTTTTACATAAATAATAGATTAAAAATTACTTCCAAAATATCATCATGAGGAGGTTCCTCATTGAGAGAAAATTTCCTGTAAACCTATTAAACTACATCACCAGATGTAAAATCGGGAATCCATTTCAGAACTGATGGATTTTTTGGAAAAAAGGAATTTATTTTTAAATTCTTTGTCGTATTATCTTCTTTTCTCATAATACCAATAGTTTCTTTTGTAATAAAATTATTACTTTCTCATTCAACAATTGAATGAATTACACAAATTAAAGTGAGTTTTTCTGATTTAGTATTTATTTTTTTTTATTTATTTAATTTAATATGAAATAATTTATTTTTTTAATGATTGACACCCTGTAAAAAGACTAATATCCGTTTTTTTTTATTCCACCTTTTTTCCGTAAAAGGCTCATATTTCCGTAATTAATATCTTTATATCACGGAATTTTATCGAATTATTTGCATTTTCCGTGAATGGATCAATAACGGATAAAATTTTTTATAGGGGACATTTGAAATCTTCCATGTTTTTTCTTTATTTAACTGATAAATGGTAAAAGAATATAAACTTTTTTTTAATGTTTTTTTCACATTTAAAAAAATAAAAACTAATCTATTAGCCAATCAAATCAGTAATTCATACCCACCCAGTGTAACCATAGATATCAAGAATCACATGATTTTTTTTTTTTTTTTTGATAGCTTTCATAGTACTTTTTTTTATCATAGTAAATAAATTAATTATGCTTATCATTTTCCATTTTGTTACGTACATGCGTACATGATTGCGTACATGATTATGTACATGATTACGTACATGATCGTCATTTTTTTAAGAATCACGTTTTTTTTTAAAAAAAAGATAGCCATCCGTAGAGAGGCTAACTGCGGATCCAATACTTGAAGCTTCAAGCTTAGTGTTCCAATCCGTTAAGCTGGCGGATAAACGGATAAGGCGATTATTTACACTGACCTGTAGAGCCCAATATCTATTAGCTTAGGTCAATTTATAATTTATCAGAATATACTATAGGGTAGACATCTGATATATTTATTTGAATTCTATCTGTTTATCCGTCAGTTTAACGGATTGGAACTCTAATTCAAGCTTCAGACTTAATATAAAATGCTGGAAAGCTTAAGCTATATTTGGGCATCAAACTAACAATAAATTTATTAAAATAATGCTACAATTAAAGCTAGACACATTACACAGGCTTTTCGGTATTCTTATCTAACAAGCTAATAAAATTTCATTAAAGGTAAATCGTTGATAGAAAGTTTTGAAAGCTAAAAGTAAGAGCGAAAACTATAGTAAAATAGATAATAGTCGCACAGGTAAGATTACATTAATTATTATTATTGGATTAATAAAATTTCATTAAAGGTAAAAGTAAATCTAAAGAAAATAGTTGATAGAAAGTTTTGAAAGCTAAAAGTAGAGCGAAAACTATGTAAAATAGATAATAGTCACGCAGAGTAAAATTACAATATATTGTATATAGTATTAACTTAATAGAACAAGGTTCTGATGATCAGAATCCGTTAAAAATGAATGATTGAAAAAAAAAGAAATCGTGTAACATTATTGCTAAAGTTGATTTAGCATTCGTATACATCCCAAGAATCTATTTTACCATGAAAGTGCCAACATTTATCTCCATCATTATTATATGGGCCGCGCCATTTATCATCTTCAGTAGACGCAGCAACTCTAAAAGCAACCCAATATGATGACACGTTATCAGGAACATTCAAGCTATAACCTGTATGAGCCCAGTCGCCCTCTATGTCAATTGCGCCAGCATCACCACTCCAATCAAAGTTCCCTTTTTTATTTGTTAAGACGGTTGCAGCATTAGTCCATGTACCAGCAGTTACCTTGTTATGTATCCATACGGTATGGTCCGCATACACTTATTCAATAGAAAGTTATTAGAACAGAAGATTATTTTGTCATGATTATTAAAATTTACCTTCAGTGAACGGCGTTAAGGCTTGGATAAAAATGATTGCAACGATCATGGTAAAAGAAAAGGAAGATTTCATGGTGAATGAACTTTTTTTTTTTTCAGTAGAGGTAGTGAGGAATTTTTTCGGTGGGTGAAATGGGGACCTTTTTATTAGACACTTAGCTGATCTCAGTCATGTGAACAAAATTTAGCAATAAATGTGCTCTCCATTCTACTTTCTGTTTTATCCCTTAATATAATACGGAGAATGATGCAAATCTGGATGAAATAAATGACAACGACTATATATAAAATCATTATGTACTTAAAAAAAAAAAACTTTATTAATGAAAATGTAAGTGATAATGAAAAGTTATAATGAAAATATCTTAATAAAAAAGGACCGCATGTTTCCAAAAGTCCCTGAAACCTTCTTTCTAATTCATGTTGGCCTTTGGTCGGCCTTTATTAGAGGTATAATATACGTTGTAAACTAGAACTGTGGCCCGCCAAGAATTCAGTAAATCAATATTCGGGAATTCCTGGTAATCCTTCTCCTTGTTTCGCATGAGATGCTAATCCTTATTGAGGATGGACCGGATCTATACCTAAATAAAAAAGGGTTATTCGATCCCTTAACGGGTATTACTCATTTTATACTTTACCATATATGACCTGAGTAATATCCTGGTATACTTGGGTAAATAATTTTATAAAATTTAAAAATTTAACGCAATTTTATTGTTATAATTTGAAAACAATCCATTTTTGTAATTTTATAGTTACTGTAAATTTAATAAAACAATAAAATTGTTTATAAAATATCATTTAATTATTTCAACTTTTTTCCGTTAGTAGCCTTAAAAATTAAAATACATTAATAAAATGAGTATGTTTATTTTGGAAAGTAAGATTCAGCTTATTCTTACCATATGGAGGGTTCCGCCTTAAAAAGAGATTTTTTTTTTTAATATATTTGCTCCATACTCCCATTTTTATCCCTATAAAAAATTTTTATCCGAAAATGTCCGTGTCTTCCGTAAAAATTCCGTAAAATGATACATTCACGGATATCCGTGTCGGTGAGATGAAAATTTCAAGACTATTATAAATTCCATGAAAATGATACATTCACGGAAAAAACATGGAAAGATAAAACACGGATCAGATTTTTTACAGGGTATTAGTAATATGGTTGTTTGCGTCAAATACTTTAATCATTTTCTACTTCCGTGTATATCCGGATCATCTAGAGACTGCCCCGAGCAATATATGGGAGGTGGTCAGTAGAAAAGGAGGAAATCCAAATTTTGGTCAAAATTTTTTTTATCAGTTTACTTTGCCAATCATGGTCATGGGAACAAAATTAGCTTAATAACCAAAAATCTTAAAATTTTTGAATTTCCCCCTTTTCTACTGACCGCCTCCCATATATATATATATATAGGTAACAAGAAAGGTCAAAAAATTTATAATAGCTCTACGCAAGGTTTTTATTAAGATAAATAAGCAAACTCAACATGTGAATTCACTAATTGAACAAATCAAATCATATTCCCTTATAAAATTTTTTAGTACGAAAAAAATCACAGTATCCAACTATTGTCATTTTATTATTCATTTTATCAATTAGTTCATCATTTTTTCAATAATGACATCACGACCAAAATATTCATCATATTTCTTTTCATTCTCTATCAGCTTAGTATATTACCATCAATTAAAACTTTTGTTTATTAGATGGTACATGATATCACTAATGGAAATGTTAATTAAGAATTTTCATAATTAAATATTGCCTAATTTATAAAAAAATAAGCAATAATAACATATGACTTGTTGAAATCCCGCCAAAATTAAGCAAATAAAAATTATGACGTTAGCCATAAATATCGTTAATTTTAAGCAAATATTAACCTGTCAAAACGGTATGTGGCTAAGCAAATAATATTGTTTCCTATGGTATCAGGCATTTCACTGAAGGCCGTTTCGCCGAAACCCATTTCGCCAATGCCATTTCGCATTTCGCCGAAGGATGTTTCGCCGAAGCCATTTCGCCGTATAGGTTATTTCGCCGAATGACATTTGCCGAAACATTATTTATTACATTTGTTTATTTTATTGTTTTTTTTTTACATTTTTTACACCTATTAAGCCACTTTCGATCATCAATTAGCTAATCTTCAAATAAACGTACATATCCCCAAATAAACTACAGTACAGTACAGTTACAGTACAGTGTATACTAAAATAAAAAAATACATACAAAAATAAACTGCATAAAACTAAATATATATATTATATTAATATTATTTCTAAATAAATGCTAAAATTCACGTAACATTCATTACTAATAATTTCACGGCTTAATTTTTTTAACTATTAGTGATCGCTTTATGTTTTATTCATATATTTTTTTAATAAATAAATAAAAAAATTTTTTATTTTCATTGCGCGATTAATATTTTTATAAAAATAATAATCGTTATCATTTCTATCATTTTCGAAATGGCTTCGGCGAAATGGCTTTCGGTGAAATGTACCGTAACCGCTGGAATTATGAATTAGCCGCAGTAATATGAGATGCATTGATTATATTAATCTGGTGCACACGAATTTGTACAAGATTTTATTTATTTATGGATAGTTGAGATAAATACAGTAAATACCGAAAATATTATATAATAAGATCAGCAAAGAATAAAACTGTAAAAAAATCGTCCAATTACTCAGACCTCAAACTACACAAAAGAAGGACTCTAACTGAAACCCGACCGAATCAGCAAAGCCAAAAACGAGATAAAAAAAAAAGCACCGGGGAAAAGAATATGACCAAAAAAGGGGGGAAAAAGGAAAAAAAGCTAAAGCTAAAATTAAAAAACCCGCAGACCGTACCTACACCATCCTACAAAACTCCTTACCACCACCTTTTTGTCACCAACACTCTACAGTGGTTCCTACAAAAAGAAAAGAGAGAAGGGAGACCGAAGTTAGCAACAACCGTTCGTCTTCTACTCCGTTAGAAAGATTTTGCTCGAAATCATATTAAGTGAGAAGATTCGGGATTAATTTCAACAAGGAGCGAGTATCGTCATTCGTTTTTTTATCTTTCTTGGATTTGTCACGTGACTTGGTCGAAGAAGAGGGTTGTTTAGAACCCAACTTCTTCTCCTTGTTGGATTTCGAGTTTCGCTTTCCAACGATCAAGAATATTACAATAAGATTTAACCTTCGAAGTCTCGAGTAGACGTCGAATGGTTGCCCTTTTAGGTAGTGGAAACGTTCACGTTCCTTTCGCGAATTTGTACAAGACATTCCACTAGATTGCATTTTGATCGGTAATAAAAATCAAACCGCAATCACGTGACATTAACTACCCGTTTTCATCACGGTCATGTTTTTCGTTTCTTAAAATATTTCTCCGGAGGTTGTACAGATTTTTTTTTAACGATATTGGATTTTTTTTATCAGATTTTTTTTTTTTGCAAAGTTTTCTTTAAATTTTTCAAATACTTCTTTTGAACGCATTGTGTTGCAACTTTTGCAAAAGGGTATTGTTAGATGTTAAAGACATAACACAAGAAAAAGAGAATGATAGTAGGTTTCATAATCAAATTAATTATATTACACGGATCAACGTGTAATACTTTACCAGATCGTATCAAAATTTTAGTTAAAAGTTATACTATCTGGTTACTATTTTGTTACTAAAGTATACGTTTCGATATTTTTCATAGTACTATTATCTGTTTCGTGTGATAATATCTTTTACATCAATTTTTCTATTTATATAACACAAATTATTATTGATACTAAATTCATATAGCTTCTTTAATGAAATATTTGAAGGTGAAATGGTCAATTATATGTTACTTTCTCAAGAGTAACTTTATATCAACATATTAAAGTTCTCATAGATGATAGTGAAAATCGCAAGACAAAAAACATTGTATACCATGAGATATTTCATTCTATAAGTAAATTTGTATTTGATAATAATAAAAATTCACTATTATTTGCATAAACACATAAATTATTTAAATTTATTATATTTCATTTTTTACTAATACATTATAATAATAGTAAAAAAAACAAGATCTATTATCTAATAAAATATAAATATGTTATTATTACTTTCTTAGTTCGATAGTCCTTGGCGCAACATGAAGGGTACGCCTACTAGTTTTTATAATAAAAAATAAATAAATAAATAAAATACAATACAATTTTGAAATCTATTAACCATCTACATTAACCTTAACATTTCAATGAAAATAAACTTTTTATATATTGATTTCCTTATTCGAATCTCAATCACCCCAAAATAAAAAACAAACAATATAATAGTATATATGTAAAAAAGTTAACCACAATAATGGTCCTCCTCCTCCTCTTCTTTTTCTTTATCATCACTTTTAGTCAAAAATTTAATAGTACCCAAGTCTTCATATTTTCCTATTATTTCTAAAGTTTCCGAACTAGTATTATTATAATAACGATCTTCATCATCCACAATAATTATTATTGAAAGCAATTTTTTTGGTGTTCTTTCTTCCCAACTTATAAAAAATGATTCTAAATCATCTGGAGATAAGTCTGATTTTGAAATATTGTATATTTTTAATTCACAAAAATTATTTGGTGAATATTTTGCAACAGTTTCTAATACCTCCTTTTCAGATAAAAATTCACTAAAATAACCTTTACCACACCAAATTTTAATACTTTCTAAGTATTGACAACTAATAAATATAGTTTTTAATATATCAATTTCACCGTTATTAAGTATTACGAAAAGACTTTTAAGGTTTGGACAAAATTTAGCAATAGATAAACTTAAATCTTTGTTATTTTCATCTGTATAAAACTTTTTAAGGGTTTTTCCATTATTTTCTAAAAATTTCATCATATACTGAGGATTTGGACATTGATAAGGAATTTTTAAAACTTGTAATTTAGAAAATTTAATATATTGTAACATTCTAAAATCTTCAAAACCTGTTCCATCAAAAAATGAAAATAAAAATTCTTGTAAATTTGAAAATAAACTGATAAATGAAAGTGGTAATTCTTCATTACCACCATAAAGTTGTAATTTTGTTATTGTATGAGAGTGTTTTGTTATAGCAGGTATAATATCTGCCCAACTTTTCTCAAAAGCTGATAGAGATAATTTTTTTAAATTATTTTGTGAAGAAATTAATTCTTTTAATTCATTTGAAACATAATCATCAAATGATATAGAAATTGATTGTAAATTATGGCATATTTGAGAAAGTTGATGAAAAAAATCAGAAGGAAGACTTGAACTACAACATAATTCTAAAAGATCTCTTGCTCCAGGAAAATGAGAGAAAGAAATACTAGTGTAAATATATTGTCCATGATAATAGTAAGGATGATAAGTCAATTTTCTCAAAGAAAAAATTTGGTTTGCAAACATTTTGATAATTTCATTTGCAACTAAAATATTTTTATCTTTTGAACTTAATAAATTAATAGAT